CCAGTTTACATGTGCTGGGCAAGAATCAAATTATTGACAGAGGCATGTTGGTAGTTGGCTGCATGTCCTCTTCCAGCTTGTTACAATTGAGTCGTCTCCCAATTGACATATTCGGTCAACTTGGACACCTTTTTTTGCACCTTTCTTCATCTGTCAAAAGAGCTGGCTCGTTAACTTAAACAATGTTCTTTTTTTCTTCTTTTTTCTCTCTTTTTTCCCTCCACAGACCACAGAAAAAAATCTACAATGCAAAATGACAGGATTTCTATCTGCTTTGTGTAGCAGAGTGGTTCTACGAGCAAGTCAGTGCATTCATTGGGTTTCAGAAAGGTACAAGGGTCTGTAAATGCAATGAATGAATGAATTGACTACAGCAATTTACTGATATTGCAAAATATCATTTTTACTTGTTAATACTTCAGTACAAAGGCATGTGTATATATCATGAGCCAAACAATGCTAAATTTGGCTGAAGTAGAAAATGTACAAGTGGTAAAATGAAGAGTCGTTTAGGAGCTCTGGTGTTGTGTTGTTCGCGAACGATTCGTTCAAAAGAACCGAATCTTTTAAGTGAACGTACTCAACAGAATCACTTCCTTGAGTGATTAGTTCGTTTCTCACTTAAGCTGAGCTTAAGTGAGAAACAGCATTGGCAGTCAAACAGCCGGGGAACGAGGGACCCCATGCACCGACACCTGAATCACTTGAATCACTTGGTGAACGAATCGTGCATTGAACTACACTCTCTGGAATCATTTTTGTCGAAGAAAACTACCTTTTTGTTTTAACTGCTAAATTGCCACCACAACAACTTGCATACAATAGGACACAGCATGTAATAAGTAGTAGATAAAACCCACAGCATCCTATCATTGCAGCGGTTTGCGAGGGAACGGTCCATGTTCGGTTTGAATTCTTCTAAACATTCAGTGAATGAATCACTCACTGACCCCAATTTTCTGAGCAGGCCTGATAAATAGCATTCCATAGGACAGTACACTTAAAACATCATGACTTATAAACAAGTCAAACACTCTTGTCTCTCAGTCCCAGAAGTTATGAATTGAACTGAATCCTGAAACGTTCAGCTGTGTATCAGTTCAGGAGGTCGGAGTCACAGGCTTCTCCCTCCAAGCGCTTCATGATTTGGTGATTTGATGAACGAATCTTTTTAGTGAACTGATACTAGTTGATACTACTTGATTCAGTACATCTAAAAGAACTGCTGTGCCCAGCACTAGCCGGCTCTTCTTGGTGAGCTGAGCTGAATGATCTGGCTCAATGAAAAGAGCCGTAATTCCCATCACGACAAAATGTGTCACTGTAATCAAAAACTTAAGAAATAATGCTGCTTCTGTGGCTTTGACTTAACATTCTCCATTCTTTATATTTCGTTGCACTATTCAGCCCTCTGTGTGTGACTCCTTACCTGCAGTACAAGCATGCAAACAACCTCTCGTTTATTATTCAGACTCAGTTCATTCCACATGAGGAGGCTAGAAGGCAACACCTGACACTGAAAGCTAACCTTTCTGGAACTTTGCTTTGTGTTTCTGTGTTCAAGGGGCAAAGTCATTGTGGTTTCCATCTATAACACTCCGTCTCACACAGGTTTCGGCACAAAGACTTGTTTTGTGTAGGAACCTTGGACCTCCAAGGGAACATAGACCTGGTTACATGTTCTGATAGAAATTGAACATTAACATTTATACGTACAGCTCAGGTGGGAGAGAGACATGCAAACACTGACAACTTTCACTCTGTTCATCACTCTTTGGCGAGCACTTCATCCTTTTACTTATTCTGTCGCTTAACCGATCATTAAAAGAGACTACACACGGACGTACTCCAATGCCAACCTTACACCAGTGGCCTTGCAGGTTCTTTGTTAAACCAAACATGAAACAGACTTTTATACAAAAGGCTTTTCTTCCATTTTGACTCTAGTGGAAATCAAGCATGAAAATCCCACTCTGACACATTCTTGTGCTTGCTTTGTCATCTCTGTGTGAACTAAATCTTTCAGCTGTCATCCAACAGTTTGCTTCAAGGACCTTCTGTAAGCTCACGTTGACAAGATATCGGAGGGAGTTTGGCGGTCTCAAACAAAAACTCAACACAAACTGAAATATATTCCTGTCTCTTAAAAATCCCACTTATATTTGTAATGTAGACAATCCTGGGGTCATAGATTCTCCTCATTTTCACCTTCACACAGAAGTGCAAACAAAGTCAGATTTAGACATTAGTATTCGGCACGATCAGTTATCTAACAAAGTATCTAACAATGAGTCAAAATAACCGTAATTCCAAGATAAATTAAAAGCCAAATTATATGTAATTGGCAGCAATAAAGTATCAAAACACTAAGAAAGAACGATTAATTCACAAACTGTTACTTAAAGGGATATTCGGCGTGAAATTAATTTAGGGTCAAACACACCTTAACACCGAGTTAGACACCCCCTCAAGAGATAGATGTTGGCAACCGCTTGCTTTTCTAGTTATACCAACTTTAGTAACAACTGCATGATAGCAATACACAGCGGTCTGAGGAGCCATAAACATACCTCAACCAAAACGCATGTACATATGAATTATTTTATTCGGTGTTTTTGTTTCTAGTTGTTTTTTTGTTTTTTGTTGTTGTTTTTCTTCTCCTTCTTCTTAAAGTTTGAGATAAATAAAGAAGAAAGGAAGAAATGGTCCAAAAAATGAACTACACCTTAATCATCTGTCAGCAAAGCCTCCTAAATCACTGATATTTCCTAAACTAAATGGATAATTAAATAATAACTATAAAATCATAGAGATATTTAAAATAAAACAGACAAGAAAATTCAATTATTGTGTGTTTTACCAATCAAACATGGGAAAAAGTATGATTTTGAAAACTTGTAAATAATTATAATTTGTTGGGAGAAAACTTAGCAAAAGGTTTTTACTTTTAAACCACATGGTAAAAATCTGCTTTACATCACTGTTGTGGGAGGAGTGGTTTTCACGTCTGTGAAAATAAAAGAGCCAAGGGTAAAGAAACAAACCAAAGCAAATTATTTTCCAATCTCTAAAAGTTGTACCTCTCTGAAACTGTGCAGGTTTGCAGCCCGTTGGGAGCAAAGCTGATTTGTTTGTAAAACTACTTCAAAGTTCCAAGAAGCTGGCATCAACAGCAACAGGGACTCTCTCGCCAGCTCTGGCTTTTAATGATGGAAAGATGACTCTTGTGGTGATCTGAGAATGACTCAGGTTGTATTCACTTTTTTGAACCTCTGCCTTTTGCAACTAGACGAAAACATCTTTGCAGCATCTTCACAATGTCATCTCTTTTTACTGTTCGTGAGGAGATATTACTGATGGCACCTTTAAAGCCCTACTGCGATGAAAATCACGTTTTTCTTGTTGTCTACATGTTTATATGGCATTTTTCTGATGCTACATGACATATCCCGAGAAAAATATGTGCAGAATTGCATTTCTGAGTATTTCTTCATTCAAATCTCTGTGAATCTCTGACAGACCCAAATGGCAGGTTCCGACACAGTGAGATTTCCTATGTCACAAATCCAAGCTCCGCCCCCACAGCCCCACTATGCAGGCCAGACTCAGAGAAGTAGAGAGGATGATCGTGGAACGAGTGTGTTAGCGGATTGCAATGTTCGTAAGAAAGCTCATTACGATATTAACTTTCATCATGTCCCCAAAGACATTAGTGTCTGAGAGCTGAGTACACCAGCAATGTTAGGCTGCAAGCTATCATGGAGAGGAGTGTACAGAGTGCTGTCTCTTCCCACGACTCAGAAGCGAATTGCTAATGAGCTACTGGAGCTCTGCAGAAGAAAAGTCCTTGAAAATGACACAGGTAACGTGATTTCGGCTAAAAACTTCATAATCACAATCTAAACGCAACTGAGAACACTTATAGTAAAAAAAATGATCGGAGTGGGACTATAAACTGGATTCTTATTTACCTGCAGTTATCTCTCAGTACAGATTACTGCGTTGTCTTTGCTCCCCCTTGTTTCAGCGATGCATCCTGTGCCCACACAGTCTTATCAGCTCTGATAGACACAGTGATCAAACTACACGTACTGTTGCATGCATGTACATCATGTATGTGCTGGCTGGGCAGCAAAGCAGGTTTTAATGCAGAGCCAGAGTCCTTTAAAGTCAGACAATTACATATTTTAAGGCCACCTGACATGATAGATGACCCAGCCCACAGTGTAGGATATTACCATTCCTCTGCTGTGCCTGTTCTCATCCAGCTCCCTCTCTGCCTGCTGCTAAGATCCTATAAATACTGAAAGACTGGCACCCTTTTAAAGTTTGCTCAATTTGAACACTGGTCCTGACAGCCCCCTTTTGTTTCTTTGGTCTCCCACCCTCTTTCCAGACAGTACAGTTTGCATTGGAGCTGGTTTTGTGACAAGGACACATTTATCATGTAATAAACTGATGCAAGCTGTTACAAAATGAAACTCGGAGATTGTTGGTCTGGTACAGTGGAGAAGAATAACCGGAGCTATTTTGGGTTATTCCTTCAGCTTCACAGCCATTGATGTCCAATTACAGTCACGAACCACTAAATCGTGTGTGTATAAAAGACAGGAGAAGAAGAAATTAATATTCCACGATGGTGTGGAGAATATTTTTCATAAGATTGTTCTTTCTCTCACAGAGAAGCAGCTCCTGAAGTGACCTGTTTGTTCCCATGCTTGTGTCCACACCAGCTTTTCTATATACGCACTTTCTGTCGCAGTATTAGGTTGCATCATAAATCTGCCAAACTTGATGCTCACAACCCCATAAATGCCAAAAAACAAAACAAAAAACTAACTACATAGAGAAATAGTTTCCACCCTGGTGTTAATTCTCACATTAATGGTTTATTAAAGATAATAAAAAGTTCAATTACAAGTGCACAACTGTTTTATTATGTCAGAACAAGTGACAAACATGAGAATAGTCAAGTAATTTCTCTTTTACAAACTCTTACTGCCACCTGTTGTTTAGGCAAGGAACAGCAGTTACAGACACAAAGTCTTGAACATTTCTGAAGGAAGACAGTCTTTTCTAACTTTTAAAATAATTTTCTATGGCTTAGTAAAGCTCTTCAGTGCATGAACTTAACAACAAAACAATTTTTGTGAAGATAGGAAAACACGAACAATTTGGAATCAAGAACCTGCAAAATAAACAGAAACCAAGTGCCTCAAACAGTTAGCCAGTGTTTCAATCAATTTTACACACAAAAAAACACAGATCTGCGTCGTCCATTCATCATACAACTAAATAGTTGCAGAGTGAAATGTGTGACTACACTGTAATTTTACAGTGCACTAATTTCAGTCGTGATCCCCTCTGATCCAGCATTAGTTAAAGCAAGCGTTACACGAAACGAACAACCTCCTGCACTTTGAAATGAACTTGTAAGTTCGTAAAGGCTTCAAGGATTCTCTCAGTTGTTGAATTCTCCAAAGTTGAGAAGGTTGTTTTGTTCAGACCACGCAGCGTGTTGTGCCCCATCCATCTCAGAAGCCACTTGGTTACCGCTCGCCAGTCTGTGACTGGCTCCACCGATGACGGCGTCACAATCAGGACAGCGCCGACTCTCCATAGCTCCTCCACACTCAGTTATGATATAGACATGGCCGTTTGGACATTTGTACCAGTGTCCCTGCCGCATTTTCATGGCTGAGACGATCATTTTCCTCTCCTCCTCGCTAATCATCAAGCCTGTGGCTGGAACCTTGGTGTCTAGTTCCTTCATCATTTTCTTGACCCTGTCTTCATCTTGCTCTGTGAACTGGCCTGACTTTTTAAGAGCTGCTTTCATTGCCACCACCTCTGACTTGATTTTGCCGCTTTGTCCTCTCGCCTGAGCTTGGCTGTAACGGATGCGGAGTTCAGTCAGGAGAGTGAGTCTTCTCAGCTCTCTCTGCAAATCGAAGACCTGCTGCTCTGTGAATCTTTGCTGTCTGTGGTTGAGAAAGCTCACAAACTCCTCCATTCTCTTTTTAAGTTTGTAGCTCTCTGTGATGGGCAGTATTTCTTTTTGGAATTTCATCAGTTTTGCGATTCTCTGAAGGAAGTCCATCTTGTTCTCTAGGACCGACAAGTCATTTACTGTGAGATTGTCCTTTTCAAGGCATGCCGCAATGTACATACACGCTTTTTCATCAAGCACTTTGCAATTAGGATAGTTTACTACCCACTGGTTTTTAAGCATCAACCTGTGCTCTGTCAAATCGGCCTGATCTCCATTTATCTTCACCTTCACCATCTCTATCTCAGCCAGGCTGCTGTTGATGTGAGATCCATAGCGTAGGTTCTTGCGGATGGGAGTTTTACACTTGGGACATTCCTTCAGTTTGATCACGACCTTCTCTCTGTCATCTGCCTGCTGGTCGACATCCATTCCCATGTATGTGTCCATGGCTGTGTATTCAATGATGTGTCCACAGTCTTCTAGCTGGATGAAGCTGGCCTCAGGATCATCCTCTGTACCAAAGAAGATCTCAGTGACCTCTTCGTGATCACAGACACGACATTTGCTGGGACATTTGTCCCCGCAAAGACCTATGCATGGGTGACCACAGCTCAGGGTCTTGTCACAGGGTTCAGTGCACGGCGGACGATCGCATGGCTCATGGCAAAGTTTGGTACAGCTTTGGTGAGGGCACTGCCAAGCGCAGGGTTCATTGCACGGAGCACAGGGCTCTCCACACAGCTTGTTGCACTTGCTGTGAATGCAGCAGTTCTCGCACTTTCTCCGACAGGGGGGGCAATCTCGAGTGCAAGGCTCACTGCATTTGTGGGAGCAGATTAAGATGCGCTCACACTTGCGAGAACATGAGCAGTGGAACCTTCCCTGAGAACACCTGCTGCATGTACCGCGACAGATGTGGCCACATTTTAGCTGATGCTCACAAGGAGTGTTGCACTCAGGCTCTTCTGGCACCGTTCTGTAATAGCAGGCACCCTGTGCTCTGTGGCCACAACTTAGCTCTAAAGTGACGTTCACCTTGCATTTGCTGGTGCATAGCAACCCACACCATGTGTCGCATGGGTGCCCACACTTGAGCAGCTTCTGGCAGGCCTCCTTGCATGTGAATGTTTCTGGGTTTTGGAAGCAAGGGACCATCTGTTTGTGCTGACACTGGGGTATGATCTTCTCAACCAGCACTGTGCATTTCTTTGGGCATTCTTCGTAGCACTCCAATGGGCACCTGTGTTCAAGTTCACACAAAGTCTTAGGGCAGGCCTTCCTGCACCTGTACTTCTTGTGCTCAGGGTCGTAAGGGTGGCAGACTCTTGCGCAAACGTGGCCGCAATTCAAGCGGTACTCACAAGGCAGGGTGCAGCCCCCCTCAGGGGCGTCTTTGAAATCTTTGGCGGAGGACGCTGATATTTCTTTATCTGGGTGATTCTGGCAGCGCAAGGTCAGAGCTTTGCCAATTTGGTCTTTTTCCCTCAAGGTGTCGAAGATGTTGCTCCACAGTTTGACTTTTCCCAGCATTGTACTGTTGCAAATACAGTAAAGACCTTTCTTGGCTCGAGACAAGGCCACACAGACGCGATTGGCTATGTTCAGAAAGCCAGCTTTGTTCTGCGGGTTGCTGCGGACCAGAGACAACAAGACAATGTCGTTCTCCTCCCCTTGGTACTTGTCCACTACATGCACTTTGACCCCATTGAACTGACTCGCAGGCATGATGTTGCGCAGACACAGGAGTTGGCCTGTATAGGTGGTGAGGATGGTAATTTGCTCTGGTTTGTAGTCCTGATTGAGAAGGTAGCGACAAAGAGCAACTACAAACTCTGCCTCATGCTTGTTCTTATGGCTTTTTCCATCTTGGATGTTTTCTTCATGATGGTTGTGCTCCACAAAGAACAAATTGGTGTCAAGGCCCTGTAAGACAACATTTGGTTAACACATAATTGGTGACTATTTTATATTTATTTATTTATCAAGCACCAAACTACCAAGCGCTGAGTTGTTCAAGCTAGGCAAAAAGTTTCCCAGATGTAGAAAAGGACTGTGGTTGGAAACATCATTCTACCACTGGGAGAAGAGCTTTGCATCAGTGTGTGGGTTTTCCCATAAGAGCTTATCTTAGAGGTAGAAAGAGACTGAACGGAGTTGGGGAATACATTCCACCACCAGGGGACAACAAAGGAGAAGAGTCTGGCTAGTGACTCGGGCGCTATTGTGATGAGAGCTCAGGTGTATTTAAACCTTTATAGCATGACCGACTTTCCAGCAGTGCAGATCATGTTTGATGATGTTTACTGCATTAAAAGTGTAGGGGAGACACAGGAGAGCAAATGCAACACACCTTGATGTTTTCATATTCCAACACAGAGGGATGATTCTCCAGTTCTGAGTAGATGTGTGGGGTCAGCAGACGGGCAATATCTGGCCTCATACGATGCTGAAATATACACGAAAACACAAACACAAATAAAACAAGCATTCCACCATGAAAACAGAACCGGGCATTATTTAAAGTACACAAACTGTTTTTTTTAGTGCTTCACTTTCATCTTTTTGATTGATTGATTATGTGATCAGATGACAAATTAATAGCCAGGAAAACTCAAACCTGGTAGTTGAGTCTGACAAATGGGACTTTCATGTTCACCAGCCTCTCGAACATGGACATCTCCAAACTGTAGTTCCTGGCAAGGTCGTAGACTGTGGCACTGGGGCGCAGCTGAAAGAATAATAATTGTGTTTGTTAAATGCTTCAAATACCGAAGATTTTACAAATTATTACCGATGGAGGAATATACATTGCTGTTTTTCTTATTTCTTGGGGCTTAGAGAATTTTTTTAATGTATTTATTCATTCATTAATCTATTTTTTTTATTTATTTATTTATTGGGGGGGGGGTTCAATATTTTAATATTGAAGACCCCCTCAGAAGGGCGGAGGATAATAGCAGCCCCAATATAAAGCTCCTGTAACTTTCTGTTAGCACTTTCTTTCCACTCAATCTGCCCTTTGATACCACCAAACCCGACACCGTGGCTTTTGGTAGCTTTTAGTTTGTTTTCTTTGATTTGTTTGATGTCTTCAAATACCTTCTCTCTGCTGGCGACTGGTCAGCCATGAATCACTAATAAATCACAAATAAATTGAGTGTGATATGTAAAATAGCATCTGATGGTGCTACCAGAAGGTGGCGTTTTCCTCTTACGAACAATAGGTAGCGGTTTAATCATTACCAGTCAAGGGGGTTTTGACCAATTAGAATCAACTATTTGATGCTGCACAGTTATAAGTAATGCTGCAAAATCGGAGGCGGAAACAAGATGGCTCCATATTCTAAAGGGGACGCTAAAATAACTTAGAATAACTAAAATAATAACAGCATGACAATAAATAATAACAGCTAATACACAATTCTTTAATATCATAGTGTTGGTCAGAGGAACAGGCTGATGCCAGGCCTGAATCCATTCACAGATTGATGAATTCTTATTATATCAATGCAGAGAAAGAAGTCGATTTTGCTCTGATTTTGTTTTTTACGGGCAGTGTGTAATGGAGGAAATCCTTTAGAGTGAGAAAAGACCCAACTCTGTGTTCGAGTCCCACTCATCTTGTTTCACTCTGCTTTGACAACCTGCTCACTATATGTTATCCCTTGATAGCCACTATTGATACACGTGGAAGCCTCGAAGGAAAAAGCAGCATCTAAAATAACTGTAGGTTTCTCTTTTAGGGTGACTAGACAAGAATAAAAAAATATATGCAAGCACACTAACTTTCTTTTGCTGTCCCACTACATTTTCGCTTGCAAATCTTTGTGTGAGTGTGTGTGTGGGTAAGTGACTGTGAGTGTCTGCAAACCAGCTTCAGCTAGAGGACAGAGTGTGACTGTGTATGTATGTGGGAGGGGTGTGGGGGAGGCAAGACCAATTCTAGTATAAATGTGAAGCATTGTGTTCTGCCCGATTCAACACCAAACCTGTGATTAATGAACGGCACAACAATGCCAAAGCTTATTTTACCAGGAAAGTGTGATCCACCAGCCTCCATTACATGCACAGATTCAAGTCTGGGTTCCACTTTCACTAAACTCGGCACACTTGTCCGTAAAGTCCAAGTACTGACAAATAGCCTCAGCTATGAAACAAACAAACTGAGCCGTATTTTTACCACCAGAATATCTCATTTTGTTTGTTCTTTTAAGAATTTTTTACCAACTCCTGCACTCAATATACTTTAAAGTAATGGCTTTAATTGAGAAAATGAAGAAACTTTCATTTTGATTTATTCACTTGTTGTCATAGCATGTTTGCCACATTAAATTGCAGCCACTTGTATAAATCAGAGCAGGGAGCCTGGGGCACAGTGGTAAATTACTTTCATATTAATCTGATGGACCTGGTGTACCAAAATGATCATTGATTTCCAAGCCTGGGTGACAACAAATGCAATTTTCAAGTCAAACTCCATTTGAAATTCCAATCTTATACTTGCAAAAACTCTGTGCACGACTGTAACTAAGTCAGGTTTGTTTTCATAGGCAAATGCATGCATAAATTCATGCGCAAACAGTGCAACGAGCAAATATTATAAAAGAGTGGACAGAAGTTACACAGCAAGAAGAAGAGACCAGGACAGAATATTGAAATGTGTGATGAAATTGTGTGTAGTTGTGATCGCACTCCACAGATTGCTAGACAGGCTGCCTGGCCATATGTCCTTGGCAGGCCCTGACAAGTTGTTGCAATAGTCTACTGATGTCCAGCATATCACTCATCACTTTTCACTGTCTCTAGCTCTTGTAACGGCTGGCATAGAAAGGATGTTGTTTGCTGTTTCCCTCAAGGCAACCAGCAATATCTCACCCAACTACCACACAGACGCAGAAAATCCCTGATGATGGGCCTTCCTATATGTTTATACCTGGGGTTGTAAACGAGGTCATTTCAATCAAGAGCTCGATGGCTCATTAAAAACACCAGTGCGCAAATTATAGGGCCAAATCTAATGAGACGCCACCCGAACAAGTTTGTACGGTTTGTTATTCCACTTCCCATGAATTGATATCCATCTATTTATTCATATTTATATGCAGCCTAAAGATAGTGAGCTCGCCAGCTACCCTCTATGCTAGACTCACTGTTTGTTTGTAGTGGGTAGTGCTCATATTAACTAAATGTAAAGGCTCGTTTATGCTCAACTTTACATATGGATCCGGATATGACTGAAGCTCTTCATTCGTGCTTTGCGTTATTTTCATCCATATTTCTGCGTGTATTCTTGAAGTTTACGACGGAGCATTACCACCGGAAACCTTGGGGGCAGTGTTGCTGCTGTCACTAATCGATACGCATCTCTAGAGAGAAACAAAGAAGACAATTGTGGGGCTTTTTAAGGAAAGGAAATTCTGAAGTACTGAAAATGACGATTGTCGTCAATTTCTCTCATCAAACTACTAGAGAAAAGAATTCTCCGTCCTCCACGAGGCAGTTAGCGGCCTGACCGACCACCGCCTCCACCAACACCGCCTCTGTTTCTGTCTCTATGCAAAATACACATTATCACTAGCTCCTCCAGAGTCGCCATGTTTGTTTCTGTTTGTTGTTGTCGTCAGAAACTTTTGACTCCAGCCTGCCCCCTGGTGGATGTAAGGGTTAACATCCATGTCAACGTAAAGGACACATGGAAGTATGTGGGCAGTGACGGAACCACTGTTTGAAACGGACGTGTACATTTTCATACGTATGGTGAGCATAAATGAGCGTTAAGAGTGACCATCACATATTCGCCTCATCTTCTTGGACACATTTTTGCAGTTTTCGTATCAATTGCCAGTACATAAGAGACATGTTTCAGTGTGCTGCAGGAGAACTAACTAACAAACTGTGTGACTTACTAACACACAATAACAGCAGTACTTATATGTAGCAGCGTAAGGAGACAAACAAGGGCCCTGCAAATCATGCTTCATGTGACGCAGAACCCATGTGTGCTTGAACAAGCCTGTGAAGTACAACAGGTGCAAAGTTGGGGAGCTGTTTATTTCTCTGAGTGTGTTTTGTACCTGCTGATGGTCTCCGATGAGGATGAGGTGCTGGCAGGCTTCGCTCAGTGTGGTGATGGTGTGGGCCTCCAGAACCTCTGCAGCTTCTTCCACGATGATCAGAGACGGACGCACATCCTGCAGGAGTTTCCGGAACTTGGCTGCCCCCGTTGTTGTCATCCCGATAACCTGATGGACATTTTCACAAGTTTGCAGCCATTTTTTAAAATTATTTTGAAGATTAATTTAACCAAAAACAGTCACTACCTGTCCTTATAAGTTAATGCAGCTAAAATACACAATTCATTTTAAATACCAAGATTGGGATGAAGAGACGAACTCTACTCATGTTGCTCTACTCACGCTTGCTTTATGTATATTCCAATTTCTTTGAAACACAGATTTTGTTTACATCTTTTTATATTCTCTCAAATTTTTAATTAATTAAATACATCAGATTAATTAAGACAGTGAGTGGGAGTCCCTTCAACACCAACTTTTGTTCTCCCTGTCTGAAAAGCAGACTTATTTCAACTTTATTCCTGACTTTCTGACTTGATTTTAAGAAATTTAAGTAAAAGAAAGCAAGTAAAAAACTGTCTCTCATTCTTGTAGTTCCTAAACTTGATTCTAATACCAGCAGCTAAATGTCCATAACTTCTTGAAACAAATCTTCATTTGTTCTAAACATTTTTTTAATCTTTAGTTTAAATTGAAAATATAATTGGTATACTTGGGTAAAAAACTTCTAAATACATTTAATGTATGTTATAAAGTAAGTGCTGTGCTATCCTCTGATATACCAGGGACAGGGAAAATGTCATGTGTATAAAGGGAAGTAAAGCAAAAAAAGATACTCTCCTTCAAAATAAAAGCATTTGACTTCATAAGATAAAAGATATAGACTACATAAGACTCAGTAAGATATCCTCTCCAAAATCAAAGCTGTAGACTATGTGAAGCTGGTGTCATCTGCAACTATTTACCATGGACTATATATACAATGGACAGTTTGGCTCCGCCTTCCGTCATTACATGAATCTGAAGCAGAATTGCTCCCGGTATTTCGGGGATTTTCTCCACTCCCTGGAACCACCACCTGGGCAGTTACGTTGTGCGCATGCGGCGTGAGAGTCGCAAAGAGAGGCACAAACCAGTCTTAAAGTAACTACATGTCAACATTGCGAGCAGGGGGGAGAAAAATTGATATTCTGTGTAATTAATCACTAGAGTTTGTCCACAGCTCCATAGGGGATTGCTTAAGGAGGTGGGATTTATGAGCTATACTGCAGCCCGTCACCAGAGGGTGCTGTTCTCGCGTTTGTTTCACCCAGTGAGGAGGCAGACGGCGTCCATTCTACAAACAATCTATGCCATTTACTTGAACTTCAGTGCGGTAACATTGCTAATTAAAGTTTCTCTTTAATAAAGAACCTAAAAACAGAAAAGACTGTAATGTATCTGGTATTAAATCAAACTTTACCGTGGCTCTCCTCAGCACACAGAGGTCAGAGTGCCGCTTCAATTCTGCCAGTCTGTCGGCTGCATTCTGATAGGCCTCTTCACACTCTAGGACTTGGTCGCAAAGTTCCTCCTTGTAGCGTGCCACCCACAACCTGTAGATACAACATAAACAGATGGAAGTAACAACGCTGTAACAACTAACTTTAATTTGACTCTCCTGATTTGCTTTTCCCATCCTTGGTTTGGCTGATACAGTAGCTGTGGTTAAACAAACACAACAGGAGATTCAGAGTTTTGTCAGTTTAGAAGATAATTAAGAAAATGTAAACAGGAGTCCTCGCAGTATTACAAGTTTCATCTTGGCTCTCTGAGGTGGGGAGATCCTCTGGGAAAGATTTTCCTGGTGATTAGTTGACTTAATTATACACACTGGGATTACAGTACCTCTACCAGACTGAGGCTGCTTGGGGAATGAAAAAAAAAGGGAAGAGAGGAGGAGGAGAAAAGGAGGAAGGAGCGATGGAAGACAGACATGTCAGACAGGTACTTAATAGAGATGATAACAAGTATTTAAAGAGAAGTATAGTCAGCAAAGAAATGAAACGTGCACCACGGATTAAGACCTACCGATAGAGTCTCCATCTGTCCTGCATGCTCAGGGTCCAAATGTCCCTCACTGCAGCCTCTTGAGCCTCAGTCATGGTGGAGGTCTTCTTCAGCTCTTCCTTCATTACGTTCTTCAGTCGTTTCCTCTCTTTAGGTTGGATCTGTACCAATCAGAACAGGATTAGTTTTGATTTTTTTAATGTTTTCGTCAGCTGTATAAAATCTTAACTTGACTAGGAACGTGTTTGTTTTTTGCTATTTAAACAAGAATGATGCGCAGCACAGCCAAATAAACAGACTTCTTGGAATATCTTGAAGTGGATCACGTACTGCTGTGGTTTGACAGGTTTCCATGTTTTCCTGTATCACTATGAAAACCCATTGTAAGTTAAAGTTGAGCATATATGTTCAAAGCTTACCTAAAAGTTTCTTCACGCATTATTCTACCACTTACACCGCTACTCAGTTAAAGAATAAATAGTTTTACACAAAGTAAAGCCACAGTGTGATTCTGAGAAATAACAGACTGTTGCTAGGGAATGTTGCTACATGATGGCCAATCAGAGAACAGTACTAAACACCGTCATACAGTTAAGTCTTTTATGATTGGACACATTCATTTGCACATATACAGCAGAAGTCAGCTTTTGAACTGTTTGATACGAAGACGAGGGTTTGCCAGCTTTTCTTCGTATTGATGAATCTAAAAGGTTGTCCGTTAATTGCACCTCTTTCACGTTCAGATGAACTCTGTGGCATAATGGGCAAGTACATGACGTTTTTTCCTTCCTCTCATACAGCAATATATAACCCAGTCAAGACATTCACAATTTTCCAGAGTATTTTGCAGCCTTTTTCACCCCCAGCAGCTTTTCTCTACAAATTTTAGAGAGACATGCCAAATTGAAAGGTATATTTATTTGAAAAATCATTCCTTTAAGCATACACTTAACCATCTCCTTTACAGATGGACTATCAGAGCCTTGGATAGATGTTTTTATAAATAGTGCACAGCACTAAAAGCAGGTGATGTTGGACACAATGCTGCCAGCTGCTTCAGGCTATTCCACCATCCGGCAGGTGGTGGCAGTAAGGTGCCAAGAAATTAAGGAGGAAGCCAACAAAGGAGGGGAGATGAAGAGCACAGGAAAACACATAATTGATGTTAACCGTGGAAGTTACAAATTCTTTAATTATTATGATTTTAGTTGTTGTGTACCTGTGTCATTTTCAAGGGCTTTTTTTCTGCAGAGCTCCAGTAGCTCATTAGCAGAGACAGCGCTGCTCTGCACACCCCTTTTCACGCTAGCTTACAACCTAACATCGCTGGTGTAGTAGAAGTAGCAGGTAACACAGGAGCTATTCAGCTCTTGGACACTTATGTCTTTGGGGACATGATATAAGTTAATAACTATGGCCTGCAAAGTGGGGCTCCGGGGGCGGAGCTTGGATTTGCTACATAGGAAATGTCATTTAATCTGAGCCTGCCATTTGGGTCTGCAAGAGATTCACAGAGATTTGAATGCATAAATACTCAGAAATACAATTTCTCACTTAGTTTTCTCTGTATGTCCTGTAGCATCAGAAAAATGCCATATGTACACTCAGAAAACAAGTAAAAAACATGATTTTCGTCGGAGTGAGTCTTTAAGGTAACATTTATTATCGTATCGTCTTCTCTCCTCGGTTCATTATTACCCTGAGTAAAAGCCCAAATAATTGGGTATTGATTGATAAATAAGGCCAAACTGTTACATTACCTTCCATTCAGGCTCTTTGTTCTCACTCTGCTCAGCTTGGACTTCAGCTTCCCCCAGGTTCATAGCGAGCATCTGTTCTCCGAGCTCTCTGAGATCCCTCTGCAGGTCTTTCTTCTTTTGGCCTTCTCTGTCATCTCTGAACCAGGAGTCGTCATCGATGATGCGATCGGCGAGGATCATATCTGCTTCCTCTATGATCTGAATGAGGTCCTCCTCTTCGGACAACATGGCTTCATCTGATGCTGCGTCTAACACATGGTATTGAGAAGCAACATGAAAAATATTTCTTGGACTAAACCTTTTTACCTTTTGAGTGCATACAATTTTGGAAGAAAAAGGGGAGGGTAGAGATACTCCACTTCACTGTGCATTCAAGGGTTAACCGTAGATACTGATGGCTCCTCGGCTCTTAAATCACTGAAATGGTGCGTCCAAAGTAGGTACTGTAGGATTTGTCATTGCTGGGGCTACTCAGAGTTTCGACTCTGGCAGCTCTGAAAAGTTCATTTACTCTAGTTTGGAGACTGCTGAAATGGACTTGCAAGAGAAAATGACAGGGTTCGTCTTAAAAGCAGCTCTCACTTTCCATTGGGCTTTTCTCGGTGGGAAACATGGATCTGTACCAATATCACAACTAAAATTAGATAAAATGCCCGACTTGTCTTTCATTTTCCATTTCAGCACATCCTCTTTCTCACAAACATTTTCAAAGATTACAAAAATGTTGAGCTTTGATGTTTCTTGTCATAAAGTTTCATTGGGTTGATATTAATCTTCTGAGAAAGTTTGATTCATAAGATATTCAAAAAATTCATAAGAAACGCAACAGTTCGAGGTATTTTGGGAATCTTTTGAAGTTATAATTTTGCTGGAGGGAGAGACTGAAGACTTTAAATCCCTTTTTAAGGAGAAATATTTGGCTCTGATATGATCACAAACTCTGGAATTCAACGTGTTTTATATGAGTAAGTATGTTTTTACACGACAAACATCCAAGAAGACTTTCACAGTTTTTTAAAGATTACTACAGATTGTTTTTCTTCAGTACTTCATCAGCTTTTGAAATCAATGAGTAATTGGTAGGAAATTCCTTTTGACCCAATCCCCTTAGGTGGACAACAAGAGTACCCGTCAGCAGACACAGCAGAGCCCCGTGAGCATGCGCACAGTGGGAAGTTAGACCTATATTATAAATTGCAAATTTAAGAATCAATCCATACGTGTCAAACTGAGAATTTTGTGATTACCCATCTGGGTAACACTTCACTTGATGCCTATCTCTATAACGTATTATAAATATATGTATAATGCGTTATAATCACGTCATAGCACTGTATAACTATAGTTATACAGTGCTATAACGTGATTAGAACGCATTATACATATATTTATAATGTGTTATAGAGATAGGCGTCAAATGAAGTGTTACCCAGATCTTTTAAGGCGGCTAGTATCAAGTTTCTCCTGTAAGTCCTCAGAAGTTCACCAGTTCTTTCAGTGTAAAATTATGTAAAATATTGCTGAGATCCAAAGATCCCACACAAAAGATGATCAAAATTGTGTGTTTTTGATATTCTACTGATCAGAATAACTAATCAGACATGAATATAAATGTCAAAAGGCATTTTGCAACAATTGTGAATTTCTTTTCATTGAAAAGTTTGATGAAAATGAACAACTTTTGCTGCTGAGATCGCTTCATTGCTCTTCAACAGCTCAGATCCAAGTGGAGGTCCAACTTCCCACTGCGAAAAAGACCCCACAGTGTCTGCAGGTCCAAGACTTAATATTCTGGGTGTAGCAGTTCCATGCACTCCCATTGTGCAACTTCTGAATGATACTGCCTAATTAAGAATGCCTTTCTGTCATCAGCACTTCAAAAAAGGATCTCCAGCTTTTTGTTTAGAACCTCCTCACATGGTCCCAGAAGAAACCAATGGATATTGATATAATTAACATTTTTAACTCCAGTTGAAAGTTTATCCATATAAGTTCATAGAGGACAACTCAGAGCTCAGTGTTTTTTAGTGGAGCCACATGAGCAGATAAAGCCTTACCTTCAAATCCATTCACATACTCTGTCTCCCTCTGCTGGAAAACAATGGAACCCAAACCCAACCACTCCATCAGCAGGCTGGACTTCTTCCTGACCCACATCTCAACCTCGTAATAAAACTGTAAAACAATCATTTACAAAGAGAGAAAAAAAAGAAATCAGTCTATTATTTTATTTCTCCTGTTTGACGCATGAATGGGACTCCTTCTTTTTGTTTTAATTTATTTTAGTGGGACTCACGGGTTGTTGATGCAGTCTGGTCCAGTGCTTGTATGGAATGTACTTCTGCAGCAAGCTTTCACGCAGGACGCCTTTCGTACAACACTCCATCTTCAGAGCCTGAGTCTTGATGTTCTCCTCCGCCTCTTCCAGCTCTTTGTGAATCTAATGAGCAGATCAAAAGTCCAGCTTTGAGACGGGGACATTACAAATAAAAACTTCCAGTATGCATGAAGAGTTGAGCCGTGCTACACAAAAAAAGTAATGAAAATGTAATAAAAAAAACATAATTATAAAATTTAAATAGAAAAAAAAAATACATTTTTAAGGATCTCTAAAAACTCTCAGTTGCCTCGAAGATATCTTTAACACTCCACCGTAGGCAAGGCTCCCACTTTTTTCTCGCGATTATTTTCCAGGACATTTTCAGTGATGTTCAAGCTGGTATGACAGTCTAAATATAGTTCCTAAATAGTCTATTTTCCTCTCAGTGGGAGTCTACATTTAAAGATGTGCAGTCTATGGCGATCTATGAAATCATCTCTTACATTCTTAAAAAACACAGCAAACGGATTATAGAATAATGTAACCACAGATGCACAGCACCTCCTTTTATTAGTGCAACCAAGTAACAACGAACATCTCAGCCTTCTCTTTTCTAAAAAAAATTTAAAATTTACGAAGTAAAAACCAAAAAAGCCAGTATAGGAATCTGGAAGCTGTCTTACTTAAATAAATAATAATAACAATCAGTTAGGGCTGGGCGATATGTCCTCAAATCAATATCACGATATATTGATCAGTTCACCTCGATAATGATAAATGAACGATAACTACTCCACAAGCTGCTCACCCCCTCCCACATTAACTTCGCCCTTTGAACCGTCCTCCATCTCCTCACCTGTCTTTCCCTCTTTGTTTCAGACTGGATGGGGTGGAGTCACGTCTCAGACGTAGGACAGCGTCTTAAAGGGACATTTGACATCGAATATACCAATATGGGCAAAATGGTGTAGGTGATTGTCATAAATTTCAGTATCAGTAAATTTTCAGTTTATTGCCCATCCCTACAATCAGAGGATAAATTGAATTAAAGTACATAAATTGACCTAAATAAAACTAAATAGCAAAAAAAAATATGATCTGCAGTTTATAATCACTGTTCTCAATTGGTGTTTATCTAAGGTATGAAGTAGTTGTATTTCACTCTCATTTTTGCTTGGCTCATTGCGAAACACAGACTTGGACGTGCGACTGCAGCTTAGTGAGCAAGAAAGACAGACGAGAGCGATTCAGAGCAAGCTAAAAAGTCATCAGTAATATTACCGTAAACTCTGGAAAAATTGCACCGGTATACGAGACGCACTCTGTATTTGAAGGTTTAAAAAAGTTTGAATTGTCTTCTTGCTTGGCGATGCCTATTGTGATCAGAGATGTCTACAGCGTGCAGTTTCTTCAGCAGCTGTTTTCCAGGTTTTCTAGGATGTGTGGGAACCCTGTGTAGGAGTAAGAAGTACATGAATTTTTACAGATAATCCAGCAGGATGAGCAGCAAAATCTCACCTCATACTGTGCAAAACGCAGCTGATGTGGCCTCTTTTCTTTGGCCGTTTTGGAGTTGGTCAGCTCTCTGAGATTGAAACGCTTCAGGATCTCACTGCTGCTGCGGCCTCCTACTCTCACAATGCCTTCTTTCTGAAACTTGTAAATGCCTTGGGAGGGGAGGAAAATATTTCAGCATGTGGACAAACACACCTCCATGGACCTTTGATTACCAAAATCACGTAAAATATCGTGTTCATTTTGTTTCCCTAAAAACCTACAGACATAAATTCTGCTTACCCTCCAAGAACTGATCCAGGGCATGGTTCGTGTAACACACCACCAACATTGGAGCTGAGTGGTCTCTCCAGAGATCCTTATTGGTCAACAGAGCCTGGGCTATTTTAAGACCAACGTAGGTTTTCCCTGAGGAAATAATTTAAACGTATTTACTGTGCCGAAAACAGACAAGTTAGAGGGAGTTCTGTTACTTTATGAAGGTCAAATATTCAGTTTTTTAATTTTACAAAAACAAAGTTAAACTCTGCATTGCTTAGGATTTTTATCTTGAACAACTTAACACGTTTTATTAACTACTGAGTACAGCGATCATTCCTGCTATGTCTTTTCAATGTCGTACCAGTGCCAGGAGGTCCCTGTATGATTGCCAGCTCCTTGGTGAGGGCCAGCTGGAAGGCTTTCATTTGAGACTCATCAAGTCCCAGCTCCTCCATCTTGGGCCAGACCTGTGGATTCAGGCTGTGAAAGGGAGTAATAGTGCGCTTGTGTTTCGGGTGAGCGACGTCTTTCAGGTCATAAATGTCGTTTCTTCGCAGATAAGCTGGAGGCTCCAATTCTGAGCTGCACTCAACGATGTACCTGGAAACATTTTAGACAAGATTAAATCATGCAGAGTCGACTGGAGGAAAGATTTTCTCTGTAAATTCAGTCTCAAAAGAAAGTCGCCTTCGGTCACAGTGAGTTAAATACAGCTAAGCACAATGCAGCGGACATGCAGAAGCTCTTTTATTCATAAGGGTGACCGTGTGTTACATTTGCAGGTCAGGATTATTGGAAAATGTTTACGAGATACTACATCAACTTAGAAGAAGACTCTTATTTTATCTAGCCATTGAAAGTAATACCACAACAGACCAAGAAAGAATAATAGTGGTGAATTGAGCAAATTTGTATATTTGCAAATGAACTGAACTTTTCCCCAAGAGGCAAATTACCTTCTCTTAAAGGGATATTCCGGTGTAAATTTAGGTTATGGTCAAACACACTATAACACCGAGTTAGACACCTCCTCGAGAGATGAATGTTGCCGACCGCTTGCTTCTCAAGTTATACCAACTTTAGTAACGACCGCACGATAGCAATACACAGCGGTCTGAGGAGCCATAAACAAACCTCAACCAAAACACCACTCTATAGCCACAAATAATGCTCAGAACAGCACCTAACTTCATCAACAGGACATATAGGGTCCCAGCCATAGTACTAGCCACCAAACATCTTTTTAACCCACTCTCCTCCAGAAGCTGCTTGTTTGTGGGGGAGCCCTGACGAGTCGATCACCAAGTGCAGCAGACAATTTATGATTATTACTTCATGGAAATGCAATCAGAGTTCTTGTGTATCTTTTATGAGCACTGCAGACGCGGTAGTTCTTCTGCCTTAGCATCTCAGTCTAATTCCATTTCCATGAAGTAATAATCATAAATGTTCTTCCTTGAGCTGCGAAACTCCGCTGTACTCTGTAATCGATTCGTCAGGGCTCCCCCACAAACAAGTGGCTGCATTATTTGTGGCTATAGAGTGGATTTTTGGTTGAGGTTTGCGCGTGGAGACGTAGACCACTGTGTATTGCTATCCTGTGGTCGTTGCTGAAGTTGGTATAACTAGAGAAGCAAGCGGACGGCAACATTCATCTCTCAAGGGGGTGTCTAAGTTGGTGTTGCGGTGTGTTTGACCATGACTTAAATTTACGCCGGAATATCCCTTGAAGCATCAATTTGACAGTGAGAAAGACAATGAGCACAATAGGAGTGCAGGGGAATTACCCCGGTGAATCTCAGGGTATTTGAGGATTAACAAGAGTGGAAGTGGACATCAGGGGACGAAGCCAACTACGTACTTGCACCTCAACAATTAGCATTTCAAATGATGAAAAACCGATTTTAAATGAGGACAGATTTAATAAAAAGCTGTGCTGTATAATGGATATCTCCCATGATGCAGTTCTGAAAGAAATCAGGTGTCTGGAGGAGTCACAAGAGGAAGGTCTGGGAGACAGATGGCCGACAAAGCGTCTGATATAAATACATGACTGAATGATATCTATAAAAGGGCACGAGATGAACTCATCCATGCGTGGTAGCTTTTTGAGAGGACTGATGATAAAATTAACTTATGCCAATTAAAAGTCTTAACAGTGAACTTCTTTTATTCTACTTCTCCCCCCTCATTTCTGGAAAGATCTAACTGTGAACTGCTTTTTCAAAGAGCACTGGGACTGTTAAAAACTGTGACCTTGGCAGTGAAATTTCACATATAGACACACACTCCTACCTCTGAAAGGGCAGGCTGTCCTCCTCCTGCTCCTTCAGGCCCTCCAGAACATACCGATAAGCCTCAAAGTAGGCTGTTGTCTCCACCATCATGAAGGGCTGACCCGTCTGCAACAGAAAACGTATTTTTTCTTAAAATCTTCTTCATATCAAACCATTCGCAGCTATTCTGAAGGGACACGTGATTTTGGTCATTTTTTGCACCATTTAAAGTATGCCAGGAGATGTTTCTAATATTGTGTCAACCACGAATCACTGCAGCTAAGTATTCAAAACGGTTGTTAAAGCTTGAAAGCAGCAAATACCCTGTCAATTACGTAAACCTTGCAGATGAAATGACTCACATCAAAAAAAACACTAACTTTTGCACACTTCTCTCTACCTACCTTAAATGTGGACAGATTGTATCTGCTTTCTTCAGTAAAGGAAATCTGGACCCGTCCTTTACGCAGGTACTTGGGGTCACGGTCCGACACAGTGGCGAACAAGAAGGTGTCAAAGTTGTCACATGACAAGCAGACCAGGGATCCGAAGATCAGCCTTTTGGTGTTCTCCCAGCGCACAAACTGTACGGGTAGAAATGTAGACTGTTGAGAATACATGTCTTTGCATTTACCGTTTTGTCAATAAATGAGAGATCTCTGTTCACCTTAAGTGGCTGCACATCAAACCGGACCTCAAAGGCAATGCCAGAGTGTGTGCACTTTGGCTTCTCCAGCCTCGTGTCAAAATACACCCTGATATCATCAAACTGCTCCTTCCTCAGCGCAGTTTCACTCATTCCCTTGTCTATTCGGTTCCAGAGGATCCGCTGGATCCCCTCACGGAGCGGCCTTACAAAGTCCTCTCTCAGCAAGCGGAAATGTGTGTCGAGGTACAGGTGGGTGTTTGTGTAGCGCTTGGAGGTGAGGTTAGGTCTTAGAACTGGCTTTTCATCGTTATGGAGCTCCTCAAAAGTCGGGTAGATGGGTATGGTCCTGAAATCTTCCAGATCCTCTTCTTCTTGGAGACAAAAGATCGAATGTTTAGTAACTCGTGACACTGCAGTGTCGCAGAGTATTTTTTTACAGTCTAAACCCCTGATCACCCAACATAAACCAGGCAATATTCTTTAAACCAACAGAGCCCTCCATTCTGCAACTATACAGTTTTAATTTTTAGTCTTGAGAGACTTGCTGCTAAGAGACTTACTATATTTGCTTTGGACTCCCTAAAGACTTGAGACCTGAACTTGCAAAAAATTGACCTGTGCCGATCTCTGTGGAGCAACAATTTCAGTCTCTGAGGCACAAAACCGCTTTGGCCAGGCATTTATTTGCAACAACAAACCTTTGTAATGATATCCCATACAGATATGTAATATATGTGTACACATATTGCATTCCTATATAGAAAAGAATAGGTATATATAAGTTAAAAACATAGATGTACGTGTACAGACAAACTTTATGTAAAATCTATCAAAAAAATGGAACAATTTCATACATGTGTAGAAAAATAAATGACATATTTTTGACATATATGAACAAAGCATATATAAATTTAACAAATGTAATTTTGCATACTCGTACTGATAAATTTAGTATGTTATTATCATAAGAAAATCATTATATGCTACAGATTATTTCTATTTCAATATATAATACCATATAAAAATTGTATACAGGTATTTCTTATATGATCTAAACCTACATTTTTATATATCCTGAAAATTTATGTATATAATAGTAACATATATGGAAACATCACTTCTGATATATAGACATGTATGTCCTTATCTTACATTTCTACATGGGGTTTGCTTTCAACTAAACATTCGTGAAAATTTTACCTGGGTTATCGTCTCCGTTGGTAAGGAGGGCATAGGTATCCCTATCCGAGCGCAGGGTTCCCTCACAGGACCTCTCCTGCAGATGCTTAATCAGGGCTTGGAGGCGCTCCACTTTCTGCTCCACTTGAGGCTGGATGTCAACTCCTGACGCCTTGAGGTTGAGGATGGAGGTTTGGATGAGTGTCACTGACATACTCACTGTGGGGTGTGAGCTGGCAGGGAAGATGTTGAGGACCTAATAAGCAGAAATTAAAGGACAAAAAAACACACAAAAGGCGAAAAATATTAATCTCATACTGTCTTCAGGAGCACTCTGAAATCTCTAAAATATGTTTGCTTCCAGCTCAGAGATATTGTGTAATTTCACAGAAGGGGGCTTTGTATTTCTGTGTTTAAAATATTTTCTTATTAGTTTGGTGTAGGTGGACCTTTTGGGTAAAATTACACTTCTAAATAGAATCAGTACGAACCTACTGAGGATTTAGAGCTATGCAATCTCAATATCTGCAGGTGCTTTTCTCACAACTGAAGTCTGACGGTTGTTTCTTCAGCCATGAGTATGTGATTAGGTATAAAACTTTTTTTAAAAATGCTTTCAGAGGTTTATCTATGAATGGTCACCTAAACTTGTGTTTTGTTTGCTGAAGTATATTCATCAAGTTTATTTTTCCTTTCCTCCTCTGCTTACCTCGGACACAATGGCCAGGATATTTTCCATATGCAGTGGGTATCGCTCCCTGCGTTGAGGGTTGGACTCTGAGACCATACCCACCAGATAGTGAGGAAGGACAGTGCTGAGGAACAAAGAATCTTTAATGATGTTGGCCAGGTGCTGCAGGGTACCTCTGTTTGTCCTCGCTTTAAAGGCTTTACTCATGACCAAGCAGAAGAGCTCGATCAGGTCCTGTCTCATCTTTGTCTCGTTCAGGACCTCTTGTAGAGCCGGTTTGGATGCCAGGGTGAAGGCAACGACGGATGGGTCTTTTTCTGAGAGTTCTTCCAGTGTTTTGTAGCCCAGGCCATTGCCTCGTGGTGCCCCACCTCTTTCACTGTTTTTATCATGTCTGTTTCCTCCACCAGGCCCCTGGCCCCATCTTCTCCCTGTGTCTTTTCCAAAATCACCTCTCTCTCCATTTTGTCTGAACCGGCCTCCATCTCTCTGTGACTTTTCTCCCCCTTTACCACCACTACTTTTCTTTTCCTCTTTCTGTCTGGCCCCTCCCCCTTGATAACCTGTCCCTCCTGCTCCTCCTTTTGGTTTGGCCCCTCCCCCTTGACCACCTGTCCCTCCTCCTACTCCTTTTGGTTTGGCCCCTCCCCCTTGACCACCAGACCCTCCTCCTGCTCCTTTTGGTTTGGCCCCTCCCCCTTGTCCACCTGTCCCTCCTCCTCCTCCTTTTGGTTTGGCGCCTCCCCCCTGACCACCTGTCCTTCCTCCTCCTTTCTGTTTGGTCCCTCCTTCTTGATAACCTGCCACCCTTCCTTCATTACTCCCTTGCGGCCTACCTGCCTTGTGCCTGCCTTCTCCACTTGCACCTAGTCTCTCCACTCCTCCCGTGCCTCCTCCAAAAACACCCTGACCACCACGCCCTTCACCTATTCCATCTGTTGCTACCCTACTTTTGCTCTTTGAGCTTCTTCCTGTCCTCCTTTTGCTTCCTGTAGCATTGCCATTTTCATCTGTTTCACCTGGGAAGAAAAAAAAACATATATATTTTAAATATGAGTATTTATTGTGCTAGATTAGAGTTTAGGATATCAATTGAAACATCCATGTTTTATTGTGCTTTTATTGAATCTATTTTATCATTTTTCTTGGTGTCATGGTTTGGTCACACATCCTTGAAAGCGAGAAATGCCTTAAACCACATAGTTAAATGGTCTTCTCGACTGATTGGTGAGTCACAGTTTTTTCCGGCATCCCTGTACGCCAAACAGTTACAGCGGATAGCTTTCCCTATTCTAAATGAACCCACCCTTTACATAAGGATTTCCAGCTTCTTCCCTCTGGACGGAGGTTTCTAGTCCCCAAATGCAGAACTTAACGTTACAGAAACAGCTTTGTTCCTGCTGCTATTACTGAAGTGATCAAGTTGTAGAGATTTTGCATGTAATTTTGCACAATTAGCACGTACTGCGGAGGTATTATTTACTTACTTATTTATGTTGGTTTTAAATTTGTTTTTACCTTGGTTTGTATCCAGAGGTTGTTTATTTAGGTTATTTATTTGCATTTTTTTACGTATTACCGTTTTCCTCCCTCTCGTGTGTCCTGACTGGGGAGCCTTGGGGTGCTTTTATCATGTGATCTGTTTTGTGGTTGTTTTATATTTGTACTGTAACTTGTATAAATGAACGTCATCACTTTATTTCACTGCAGAACAAATCTACTTTCGGGTATTAATAAAGTAACCTGAACCTGAAAGTTTATACTTACCATTAAATGGTTCTAGCAGCCAAGAGTCATCCATTGAATATCATGGGATGCTGTTTTATTCCAGGTTGGAAACACTGATGACACCAAATGAGAAAGAGCAGTGAAAACAGATTTCAGGAGGATAACACAGTTAACAGTGCTTTATATTTGGTATAGGGTTATAAAAACAGTCAGCAGTAAGCACTTGTCTAATCTTTTTTTACTGTTATTTCTTCCACTGCTTGCTACTATCAGTACTTGCAAAGTCAAAGGGCTGTAGGGAGTCTGATAATTGGTGGTTATGTCACTGTTTATAGTTTCTGAGGAAATGGAAACAGCCAGCCTGTACTACACTATCTCAGGAAAAACAAAAACTACCAAAAAAAGGAAAGAAGAAGTAATAATACTTTTCAATTATAAACACTGTTCTTAACACTCAAGGTCACTTTACAGATAAACAGTAAATAAAACAACAAGATAAAAGCAAACACAATCTCAAATAAAACAAAGTAGGCAGTTCAATCCAATCCAACATCTTTCATTAAACTTCTGAATTTCCTGTTTTTATTGACATAATGAAACAGGTGATTACCGCACTTAATATTTATTATTAAAGAGGCACTCGATAAATACATTTTATTATTATTATTATTATTATTATTGTTGTTGTTGTTGTTGTTGTTGTTAGTGCACTTCAGTACATCACCAACTTTCACAACAACTACAACAAGATAGATAGATAGATAGATAGATAGATAGATAGATAGATAGATAGACACTTTATTAATGCCAGAGGGAAATTAAAATAAACAGAGGCAGCACCAATGAAACACAGTACACATTCTACAAATACTGTGAAAATACTTACACTAAATAAAGAATAAATAAAATGAATTGAAGGAGTAATTAACACCTGTCTGAACATGTCAACAATTAATTATACAAATAAGACGTATGGTATTTCCAAGGTGTTCACAATGTGAAGGCTGGTCTGTGTAAATGACTAGAGATTGTGATATATAGATTATTGATATATATATAAAATATACAAAAAAAAAGTACAGTATATATAATATACTATATAATATAATATAGTATAGTATATTTGTGTATAGTATGATATAATATATAATATAGTATAGTATACAGTCTGTGTAAATGACGAGAATAAAGATGTAGAGTGCGCCCTCTACTGGATGCACACGACAGTAGGAGCCGGTTAGGTTTCCATTCATCAGAAATGGGAGATATGAAAGTATGCTAAAGACAAACAAACAGGTTTACACAACAAACCAGTACATTTGCGAGGGTTTTCCCCCTGTTTTTTTAGTGTTAAATCCTTTACTTAAATTCGCATTTAAGTAAAGAGTTCCTGTTTGTTAGCAGCATAGAGTTAAATAAGTATAAACTTCAGCTAGCATCTTTTAGCCAACTAAAACTCTCCCGGGTTACGGTTGACGAAGAAACTGGCAAACAGAAACAAGGAGAAACAGACAAAAAAGGGCATACCGGTGTGAAATTCCCTTTACATCAACACCCGCGTAGATATGGGTCTTAACTCAGGCCTGTTAGCACCCGTCTTCCCCCGCAGGTGGCTCCAACCTCAGCCTCCTCCTCTGCTCTCTGCTGACTCTCAGCTCTCTGTCTGTCTCTCTGTGTTTGGAAGCTATTTAAAGACTCTGTCAGTCTCGTTTTCGTTTTCCATTCATCGCAACAAACTCAGGAACCACCACACCCGGCAGACAACCTGATACATGAATCAGCATATGACTCAAACTATGAGTAACAGTTTAAAGGAACAAATAACGCTAAAAATAATCCACCGAAACCTTCAGGTGGCCTGTGACATGGTGTGAAAATTACGCAAAAATAAGCCTCCTGAGTAGCTTAGGTCATAAAACACGATATAGTAGTTTCCAAAAGTCTAACAACAAACTTAAAATGTCCTTTATTTAGATAAATCTAAAAAGATGCAAGAATAATGACGAAGTAGCATTTAAAAATATATAGTACAAAACTCTAATAAAGAAAAAAAAAACGTGTTTTGCATTGTTTTTTTATTTTATTTTTTATTTTTATTCATTCTTTATTTAATTCCTTTAAAAATAAAAAAGAAACAATTTAATTTGAATACAGATGTTCTCCTATCTGGAATGAAAGGGAGCAGAAAGAAGACTAATCTTATTTTATCTGCCCCCTTGTCCCCAGAAATCAATTTACAAAGAACAAACTTATAATAATAAAGTAAAAGCAACAACAGCATAAACAAAACACAACAAAAAAATATATAATGAAATAAAAATACAGCTGCTGGCCACCACAGACAATCATTTACCATTTAGTTCCCAAGTTACAATTCAGTTAATGCCACTCAAAAAACAAATTTACAATGGTTTGACAATCAGATATAACTAACATATTTCCTTATATTTCCTTAACATACTGGCTTTAATTAATCTTTTAAATGTAATGACATGAAAATGGCCTTCAATTCTGTTTTGACTGAGTCTTTTTCCACGTGCTTTATGACAACATGTCAAAGCACTTTGTAAACAAATAAAGTTATTATTATTATAAAAATTTGTTTTTTTGGAAATAAATGTCTAACCCCTTCACCCATGTGCTTCTAACCTTCACAGGCCCCATGAATTGATGCCCATCTCCTAAATATTTGGTCACATGATCAATTTCTTTGACCATTTCCAAGCTCAACTCACCCTTTGGCTCAACTTACCCCACTCTCCCCTATTCGATAGACGAGCCGTTGGCGTCGACGCGCCCCCTAATTTTTTTTTTTTTTTTTTGACGCGCCCCCTACTCGTCGTACTACGTCATCCCGTCTCTACGTCATTACGCAGGCTGAGCAGGGAGGCTAGCTAAAGCTGTCGGCTCCCGTCATTGTAAACATGTAGCCGTCTCCCCGTTTTGCCATGAAGCGGTAATTCCTTTTTTATACCCATACTGCCATCAGTCAGAATAACGATGGGTGAGTTGCCGAAACGAGCGGTTTTGGACCCGGAGCAGAGCGGCGCTGACGGTGAATAGCTCATACCGTGTTTGTATGGAGCTGGCCTTGCTATTTCGAACAGCTACCGAGGATAGGCAAACAAAAGAAGAATGGCTTGTAATGTTATCTAAGAGGAATACATAAAGAAGTGGAAACATGAGAAATTCTCGGAGTTCTGGTGCCTCGTCACCTGTGAATGGGAAACAAGGTAAGACTGAGCGCTGTTCCTGCTGCTGACTTCGCCTCCATGTCTGCACGACTGTGTTTACTTACCTTTAGCTTTTTAATACAACCAATACTGACAAACATGAGAGTTAACACAGGCTTCCTAAACATTGTGTGTCCTGTGCTGCAGACTGGGACACCAGACGAAAGAGGAAAATCGCGGACATCACACAGGCCCTCAGTGTGAGTCCGGTGGATGTAGCAGCTCTGAGGAGGATGGCAATTAGCGAAGGAGGACTGCTGACTGATGAGATCCGCTGTCAGGTCTGGCCACGGCTCCTCAATGTCCCCCAGGAGATCCTGGACCAAGAGCCAGGTATCACAAACAAGCTGCATGCGTACATAAGTACAGTTACACTATACATGGCAGCCTATATTACCACACAGAGACTCAGACAGTGGTGGACAAAGAGTAGGGCTACTTTTCTTGAGTCAAACTCAAATAGGGGAGACTGGGGTAAGTTGACCCCCTGTTGCTTGGAAATGGTCAAAGAAATTGATCATGTGACCAAATATTTAGGAGATGAGCATCAATTCATGGAGTCTGTGAAGGTTAGAAGCACATGGGTGAAGGGGTTAGACATTTATTTACAGTAAATACATTTTATAATAATAATAACTTTATTTGTTTACAAAGTGCTTTGACATGTTGTCATGGGGGAATAGGAAAAAGACACATAAAAACAAAAAGCTCAGTTAAAACGGAATTGAATGCCATTTTCATGTCATAAGGAACCCAGACAGTACAAGAACCATGCAACGTAAAATGAGACCAAGAGGACCAAAATAAAAACATAAAATAGGTAAGAAAAAAGGAAAATGCAATTAAAAGGGGGGATGAAAGTAGAAACAGGATAGTAAAAATAAAAAGCAATATCATCAGTGATAATAAAATAATAACAGGTAATACTGATGATAATAATTTTCACTCTTGATTAATTTAGTCTGTTATAAGTATTATTAGAAATGTGTTCGGACCAAAAAAGATCATTTTAAATTAGTTTTAAACATCAATTGTGGTATCTATGAGCTACTAAGAAAGTCACAACAGTAGTTCTGGGGTAAGTTGAGCCATTTGGCCAGGGGTAAGGGGTAAGGAGTTTCAGTTCAGATTGTTGAAACGTGTTACTTTTTCTTTTCATAAATACAGCTGTGGATGTTCTGAATCACTTAAAGACATTCTCATGTTAAAATGGCTTTTTACAAAACAGCTTTTTAGCAGTTATATGCAATAATAATAAAAAGAATTATTGTAGCAGTTGAATAGCATATAATAGATAAAAATACACATGAATGTGAAGAAGTGACTGTTATTTAGGTAGAGAGAAGATGAGGGAGGGCTGGGGTTGAGAGTTGGGGGTTAGTAGGGATACGGCTCAACTTACCCTGCTCCTATGGTCAATTTACCCCATACAGTTGACCATAGAAGACCACTTTTTTGGCATGCTATATTATCAAGACAGTTGTGTTTACACTCATTGTGTTGGTTTGCAGGGATGAACAGCATCTTGAAATAAAAGCAGATACACGAGTTAGAGACAAAACTATGATTGCCTTAATGTAGTGATCTGAAATATGAAAAATGCCTCATCTTACTCCACTCCCCCCTATCGCTCTAAAACAAGCGAAACATGCTCAGTTAGATTATTACTTTTTTCAAAGGTAGCCTAAAGCATACTGTCACAATGCCTGAGTGCCTTTGAGAACACATGGGTGGGTTATGATTATTATGTAAACATTTTTATTTTTGAAACTCACATGCTGTGAATTTAAAGACTCGGAGATTGAAAATAACAGGAACTACTTATCAGGGAACAAAAACAGCAACTGAGCATGTACAACTTGGTTCAAAATGTTTGTAGGGAATAAAAAAGTGTTCAGCTACAAACCTGGACTTGTCTCTCACTGTAGACAGGGAATTTTTTAGTCTGTGAAACCAATACAATCCATTCTTCATATAAAAAAATCAAACATTGGCAAAAGGTATAAAATAAACTGCCTGATCTGACTGTTTGCTCTGTTTTTGCTCTGTATTCAACAAGGGAAATGTGTAGGTACAGCAGCACCACCTAGACAAACCTCAGGCCAAACTACACAAGCACAGTTTAGTCTTTCAAGTGGGATTTAAAAAAAAAAAGATCTGCTGATTCATCAGCTGACTTAGTTATGAAACGCTCACAGACATGTAGTAGAGTCAAAAGCTCAATATTTGTCTTGCAAATGTAGTGCCGTATAAGTAAACCGAAATAAGAATGCTCAAGTAGAGCACAGATACTCAAAAAACACACTTAAGCACAGTTTTGAAGTAAATGTACTTTGTCTCTGCTCACCACTGGCCTCTGCAGGTGCACACTCTCCCACAGTGTTTGACTCTTTGTATGATAAACCTTTTTGTGACATGTCTTATCCAGAAAAGGTAGAGCGGGAGAATAACAAGGACTACAACCAGGTGTTGCTGGATGTCCAGCGCTCACTACGGAGGTTCCCACCTGGTGAGTCAAACCTCTACTTGATTGATTATGTGACAGCGTGCTACAAAAAACAGCCTTTTTGTCATTGTCCAGAGCAAGATACTCTGTTGGTTGTGCAACTATTTGTTGTGTTCCTTCTACAAATAACTAAGTTCAGTGAAGATAACCTAAACTTATAGCCTACATGACGCAATGCAACTCAGAGTTGGAGCTTTGCTGTTTGTCAGTGTCTGCTCTAAGAGTTATGTCTGCTGATAAGATACTGACCTAATCCATAAAGAGTACTATGGGAGTGCAGCCGTAGTTTGCACTCTGCACTTCAATGATCTCTCAGCCAGTATTATCAGCACACACAGCCTGATTATGGTTCATGAAAATGGTTTATTTTGTAACACTTTTACAAAGTCCAACCAAACTACGACTTAACGTCTTATAAAAGCATGTTATTAGAGTGTATTTATTGTCACATTGATCATCAGAGTCAAAGTCCACTTGAACTGTCACTCATTTTGTTTGGACTCGTCCAGGAATGCCAGATGAGCAGAGAGAGGGTCTCCAGGAAGAGCTCATCGACATCATCCTCCTCGTTCTCAAGCGTAATCCCCAGCTGCACTACTACCAAGGATACCATGACATTGTTGTCACCTTCCTATTGGTCCTGGGAGAGCGACTCGCGACTGCTCTTGTGGAAAAGCTCTCCACGCATCATCTCAGGTGCTTCTGTTGCAGCTTTTTCGTTTGTTTTTCAGCTCATGTCTTTTTTTTTCCCCTCACAGTTTTCACAAAATAAAACACAACCTTCAGCCACCTCTAATTCAACCTTCGTCAGTAACAGCTTATCAAAAAGCATCTGTTTGATCCCCCTATTTTTTTTTTGTTTGCAGGGACTTCATGGATCCTACAATGGACAACACAAAACACATCCTGAACTACCTGATGCCAATCATTGAGAGGGTTAATCCTGAAGTGCATGACTTCATGCAACAGTAAGACACTCCTCGGTTTGATTTATAAAAGTTATTTTAAAATCGATTTCAGTTTTGACCGTGAGCAATACAGGTTACTTGAAAAGGGGGATTTATCTGCTTTGAGTTGCGAGTTAAGACATCTTTCCTTGAAACAGCGATCGATAAATGTTAAAGGGCCCCAGACCAATGCAGCGGTACTTATGATCCAGGATATCCAAACTTTTCCAGGGGGTAAATAGGGAGGGTAGCAAGGTTTTCTCGGCAGACTGAAATACTAAATCTTCTGCGTTAGTGAGCATTATTTCATGTTTTCATAGTTTTTCTGACTGTATTCTCTGGCTCTGTCACATAACTGTAACATTATCGATCTTTATAGTTTTAAAAAAGGCTGAGATCAGTGATACACTTTAGCATGCCCACTTCAAAAGTCCAACGGTTTAAGTCAAGGAGAAGGATTAGCAGGCTTACGGTGAACTGATCCTATTATGAGTTTCCCTTGTAAGGACTTTACGGTATAGGTCATACAGAGAGCTGCTTGGTAGGCTGAAATAACCGTTAAGTCTGTATCTTGGATGGAATAATGTCATGTTTTTCTAAAGTGGAGTTAAGTCTCACTGCGAAGTTTGATGTATGTTGATGTCTTCTGTGCATTGATTGGTTCTCAGAGCGGAGGTAGGTACAGTCTTCGCCCTCAGTTGGCTCATCACCTGGTTTGGTCACGTCCTGTCAGACTTCCGCCATGTAGTCCGGTTGTATGACTTCTTCCTGGCCTGCCACCCATTGATGCCCATCTACTTTGCTGCTGTGGTGAGCTTAAAATCAAATGCATTTTAGCAAAACTGGTCCTCCCAGCATTGTCATTTTACACCGTTACATCTGTACGTATCCGTTTTACTGTTGTGTTGCAGATCGTACTGTACAGAGAAGAAGAGGTGCTGGATTGTGAATGCGACATGGCCATGGTTCACCACCTGCTGTCTCAGATTCCTCAGGATCTGCCCTACGAGACCCTCATCAGCAGAGCAGGAGACCTCTTTGTCCAGTTCCCTCCCTCTGAGCTGGCCAAAGAGGCTGCCTCACATGAAAAGTAATTTCCTCCTCTCGGTTACCATAACAGCAGCATGTCCATTTGCCATTATCACACTGATGGAAGTGATCTAAGGCAGACCTCGACTTGAGTTTAGTTTGTGTCTCGGTACTGTATTTGTAAAAGACAGACATAAAAGGGTTTTATGGTGCTGTGAGGTGTAGCTGTGAACTCATTCTGGGTCCGGTAAGAAGAACTTTGTTTTCTTTACTTTTGGCGGCCTCTTCTTGTCACCCATACAAACATATACAGCCCACACAAGTAACCCAATGAGGGCAATAGCTGCTGAAAAGTGTCAAGACTTAAGCTTCATGAGATAAAGCAAAACAAACAGAGCAAAAATAAACACAAGAGGTTCCTGCAGTTACACTCTTAACCTTTGAGTGGTGAGGCTATTTTCATAAAAATGCACAATATGTATATTTTTCATACTGATCTTCTTCAGTCTTAATCTTACTTCTCATTAACTCTGTTGATGCACTTCCCTGTCATTAACAGTCATCTTCTTGCTCTCTCTGTGCGTCCACCTCTTTCTCTTCTCAGCATGGCATCCTCTACCTTTAAGGACTTTGACCTCGCCTCCACCCAGCAGAGACCAGACTCTGTCCTCCGCCGACGCCGCAGACAAAAACAGGCTGCGCTGGAGAGTGCCGCGGCAGCGAGCTCCTCGGTGGCAGTGGCCCAACCTTCGGCGGCACGGCGGTTTGTCCGACTGGCAGTCATGGGCCTGACGGTGGCGTTAGGAGCAGCAGCTCTGGCTGTGGTCAACACGGCCCTGGAGTGGGCCCCCAAGCTGGACCTGTTTCCGTGATCTTCTGCCCTTGACTAAATCAAGAGGATGGGTCTGTTTCCAAGAACCCTTTAACGAACTAAACCACAAACCATGCAGTCGATTACACTGTCTGGAGTGTTCTTTCTAAACTGAAACAGTTAACGCTCCACTTTCCTCCTCAGAGATGTGCCCAGACATCCTGCAGGGGCTTCTTTTTATGACTCCTGAAGAAGCTGCACCAATGTAAAAGCAACAATTGCTAGTGTCCTGAAATGAAGAATCCATAATATGAATATAATAAGGAAACTGTATTTCTAAGAACTATTACTGATGGTGTCGTTATGAAAGTTAATTTATATTTGGTTTTAGGATAATCGGATATCAAGTTCTGCTCACAGAGATTTATGCTGAAAGCTTGTTGGTATTATTACACTTGAAACTGCTGCCAATTAGGAGCGCTAGTGTGACTGTATGAGTGAGCGCGTGTGTGAGTGTGAGTGTGTGTTTGTTTGTTTGTTATCTATTTGTTATCTGGACTGAGACCAAATAGAGGATGAGTAACAGTCCTCTCTTTGTATTTCTTATAAATAGTCAGGAAGCAGCCGTAGAGCGATATGGTCATGAAACAAAGACACTTTTTATGACCTTTTTAGAATTTTTTTCCATTTCAGTTGTTTTAAATAAGAGGCTCTTCCAGTCAAGAGAAAAATCTCTCTTTCTGGGGTCAGTTATATATTTATTCTGGCTCATTTTTTGGGTCAGTAAAACTTGACTGTAAGAAGTTTTGAACAAAATGTTGATGGTGTTTTGAAGTACATACATGTGTAGCCTCCTTAAGACAAGAGTACACCTTCCATAATGCTTGAAGTAAAAACCCATCAGAGTGAATTTGTTTTATTCACATTACCCGACCACTCTTTCCTTAAACCGTTGGGTTGCAGCATCTTAAAACTGTGTCTGTGTTTCATGGCCCCAAAAGAACTGTCACTTTTGTCACTTCTTTTGAGTTGATGGTTAAATCTCTTCATAACTCAGCAACACTAACTCACTCAATGCCTGCTTACAGGAGCGACAATATCGGAGCGAGGGTGAATGGTGGTTTTTGTGTTTGCACAGTGGGGGACCCGTTTTGTACTGACTGCACCTAGTTTTGCTTTATAACTCTGAATTTAGTCTGGTGGGTACGGAAGCGTATTGCATTCACTTACAAAAAAAAAGGAAACTTTTTTTTTGAGTTTAAAAAAAAAAAAAATCTGTTTTTCAGAATGTTTTATTTTGTATTGTTTTTCTGACTATTTTTTATACTAATATTTTCTCCCCCTCTTTCTGTTTTTCAGGCAGGTTTTTTTCTTTCTGTTTTTTTTGTACTAATATTTTTTGCCCCTCTTTCTGTCAGTCAGACTGTTTTTTTTCTTCTGTGTCTTTCTGACATTTTTTTTTCTTCTGTTTTTCAGACTATTTTTTTCTGGTTTTTTGTACTAATATCCCCCCCTCCATAAATCAGTGATCATGAAAACAAAAAAAGTCTGAAAAACAGAAAAATTAGTCTAAAAAACAGAAATCTGGAAAAATTTGAAAAGTAAAGAACAGAAAAAAATGAAATTACTCTGAAAAACAAAAAAGAAAAAAAAATACTCTGAAAAACAGAACCCCTTTTTCTTTTTTCGGTGAATGCTATATGCTTTCGTAGGTGGGGGCTCTGCTCACTCTCTCAGACAGAAAAAACACTCAAGCCTTCAGAACTCTTTTTTTTTTTCACTGCTTCGTTTCAATCTCTGTTTGTATACACGTTATATAATTAACCTGATTGATTTGAGAATAGCATTTCAAGTCCAAGTGCGGTCCAGCTCATTCCAGTGTTCACTTATTTCATGTTAAGAAAAATAGAGGATTTCCTGGTTGGTATTTTTACTCACCTGAATAGTCGAGTATTACAGGATAAAACACAGCGATTAGTTTGTCAGCGCACTTCTGTCTTAGATAGAATTCTGTCACTTTTGTCACTTCTTTTGAGTTGATGGTTAAATCTCTTCATAACTCAGCAACACTAACTCACTCAATGCCTGCTTTCAGGAAATATCAGAGCGAGGATGAATGGTGGTTTTTGTGTTTGCACAGTGGGGGACCCGTTTTGTACTGACTGCACCTAGTTTTGCTTTATAACTCTGAATTTATCTGATACGGGATGTGAAAACTATCAAATGAAGGTTTTTGGTTACATGACCTCTGAGGTGCCTGAGAATCCAAATCTTCAGCAGTATTGTCACAAACCATGTATCTGCATCTGGTGGTTTTCATTTATTTTCATTGCACTAAAAGATTTATCTGCCTTTTATGTTTATTTTGTTATAATAAATCTGTCTTACTAATGTAAAGTTGTACAAGAAAATGCTAATAAACTAGAGTCAAATGTTTGTACATTAGTTTGGACTGAGTTACCCATCAGTGTGCAGCTGTGAGATTGTCCTGTTTCTTTTTCTCCTGTTTCAGAATCATTTCCATGAAGTAATAATCATAAATGTTCTTCCTTGAGCTGCGAAACTCTGCTTCACTCGGTGATTGACTCATCAGGACTTCGCCCACAAACAAGCAGCTGCTGGAGGAGAGTTGGTGAGTTGTGTTTAGTCTCTTTGCTAGAGAAATTAGGCAAAGTTATAAAGATGTTTGATGGCTAGTGCTTTGGCTGGGACCCTACACTCACCGGCCACTTTATTAGGTACACCATGCTAGTAACGGGTTGGACCCCCTTTTGCCTTCAGAACTGCCTCAATTCTTCATGGCATAGATTCAACAAGGTGCTGGAAGCATTCCTCAGAGAGCTTGGTCCATATTGACATGATGGCATCACACAGTTGCCGCAGATTTGTCGGCTGCACATCCATGATGCGAATCTCCCGTTCCACCACATCCCAAAGATGCTCTATTGGATTGAGATCTGGTGACTGTGGAGGCCATTTGAGTACAGTGAACTCATTGTCATGTTCAAGAAACCAGTCTGAGATGATTCCAGCTTTATGACATGGCGCATTATCCTGTCTTAGATATTGAATTCTGGTTGCTTGTTAACATTTTTAAGTTGTAGGACACCTGCATTGTGCAGCACAACAACTCCTTAGCTACAAACTTAAAATTTCAGCTAAGTTTATTAAAAACTCAACCCATGGTCATCCCAGGTCTCTATCACGACTGATTGGTTTATTGCCTTCTTCGGTGAACAGTTAATTTATCTGATACGGGATGTGAAAACTATCAAATGAAGGTTTTTCCAATCTTCTATTGTCCAATTTCGATGAGCTTGTGCAAATTGTAGCCTCAGTTTCCTGTTCTTAGCGGAAAGGAGTGGCACCCGGTGTGGTCTTCTGCTGCTGTAGCCCATCTGCCTCAAAGTTCGACGTACTGTGCGTTCAGAGATGCTCTTCTGCCTACCTTGGTTGTAACGGGTGGTTATTTGAGTCACTGTTGCCTTTCTATCAGCTCGAACCAGTCTGGCCATTCTCCTCTGACCTCTGGCATCAACAAGGCATTTCCGCCCACAGAACTGCCGCTCACTGGATATTTTTTCTTTTTCTGACCATTCTCTGTAAACCCTAGAGATGGTTGTGCGTGAAAATCCCAGTAGATCAGCAGTTTCTGAAATACTCAGACCAGCCCTTCTGGCACCAACAACCATGCCACGTTCAAAGTCACTCAAATCACCTTTCTTCCCCATACTGATGCTCGGTTTGAACTGCAGGAGATTGTCCTGACCATGTCTACATGCCTAAATGCACTAAGTTGCCGCCATGTGATTGGCTGATTAGAAATTAAGTGTTAACGAGCAGTTGGACATGTGCTACCTAATAAAGTGGCTGGGAGTGTATATGTACTGTTGATGAAGTTAGGTGCTGTTCTGAGCATTATTTGTGGCTACAGAGTGGTGTTTTGGTTGACATCTCCTGAGCAGGGTGTCTAACTCGTGTTACAGTGTGTTTGACTGTAACTTAAATTTATGCTGGAAAATCCCTTTAATCTCTGACTCCAGCAGGAAAGGAGGATCAGGATGAGTCGATCCAGCTCCCCCTCATTAGGAAGTGCTACTTCGTAAACTTTACCAGCCCTTCAGAGCTGAAGGGCCTTGGTTCTCACAGAGGCTGTTTGTAGCTCTGTCATCATTAAAAATTAAAATAAAGAAATGCCTCATTTTAATGCCAGAAGAAAAAAACTGTTCAGTCCAACTGCGATTAACAACCAACATGGGACCTAAAAGTGCTTTTTTTTTCAACTGTGGATATTTCTGTCAGGACAGCACGGTAGCATTATGTTTGTAAAAATTGAAATTTAAAACAACTCCATAAGCAAAATTAAGAAAAGACCGTGTTACCGTTTGTTGTTATTTAAATATCATTTAGTGATATTTTGCAACAGCCTTAATTTAAAGTATCCTGATCTCTAATAATGTATCTCTTAATGGTTACGGTGATGTCTGCTGTGTCAAACCTTTGTTTCTAGGCATGTAGAGTAAACTGAGTCACTGAGAAAGAAACCAAAAAAAAGCAGCCCAAAACATTTTAGATGGTAGATATACAGAAAATATATTTGTACTTCATTGACATCCCTTTTTAAGATGTTAATACATAAATGCTACACATGTAATCCTGAACACACAGATATAACTACAGATAAAGTCCCTTATACATGAAAAATACAGCATCAATATTTGTCCTCTGCTACTGATCAGCCGAATACTTTCATTAGTGCATCAAAGCAGCTTATTAAACACATTCATGTAAACATCCTTCACCACAGTCTGATAGGTCGACTGTTAGAAAATAATATACCTCTATTATAACTCTGATAACATGATCATAGCAGGAGTTGCATTTCAAACAAAATAGATATTTTCAAAATATCATTTTTTTCAACAGGCAGATCAAGAATACAGAACTTAAAGCTCTAGGTGTTGTTAAGTATTATTTTTTTCTCACAGAGCAGAATACTAAAAACATTGTTTTATGTGTTTTGTGAGTTTTCAACAAGTTTTTCAAGTTCATGCCAAACTCAGTACCCACACCATCATTGCTGGCTTCTTCTTCTTCTTCTTCTTCTGTCTGTTAAAGGCTTTAAAAGCAGAAGCAGAAGCCAGAGGTGAAGTCCCAACTGTTTCAATATATCTGAAGAGATCCTCTCAGGCGTGTTTTCTCACTGTGACACTTTGATCCGGTCAGCAGTAGGATTTAAAGGAAATAACTTGCAAAAAACAACAAAAAAAGGCTTGTAGGCATGTTGAAAACAAGGTTAAAAACGGGCGAAGGTATTCGAGTCCTGCGCATGTGCAGACAGTGCATGCTCTTTCAGCTCTGTGTGTGTGTGTGTGTGTGTGTGTGCATTAGTGTACTTCTTTCAGTGGCAGTTTTGACAGTTGGGATGACAGGGCTGATTATTGACTCGGCATCCGCAGCCTCCAGAGGTATCCCCGTTTCCCTGTAACACACAACAAAAGAAAACAAAGAAGATTTAACACTTCAAATATCTGATTAGATTTAAATGCTTAAAAAAAAAAGACGTTGTTTTTACATTCGGTCCCCAGCGAGCTTGTTTTGTGACCCAGCAGATCTCCGTCTTGCACATCAAACAGCAGATCCAGTCACAGCCGTCTTTTTTCTGCACGATGACGTCGCATCGAGGACATTTCATGGCCTCCCCGTTCTGCAGCATGCTCTGTATTAAAGAGACGATGAAACCGTGTTAATGATAAAGCAGCCAAAGGGAGAAATACAAATGCAAATACTCTGATGAGCGACAGTTTATCCATGTTATCAGGACACTGGTTATATTTTGATTAGATGTAACAATGCCAATACTGATACATAAACAGTCATGGATTATACAACCAGTACAAATGATTAATGGAAATCCCTCCATCTCTGCAGCCTCCAGCTTTTGAGAATCCACACATAAGAAGAGTTTACCCTCCATCAACCAAACATCCAGCTGCTGTTAAACTCCAGATCCTGTTTATCATTTCAGTGTGCGTCACTCTGACCTTACTCCACCTAAAACACCTCCAGTCCATCTCACCAGTGTCTCCTCCTCATCTTATCATGCATCCTCCCTTTTTTAAACTTGTCAATAAATACCTCCTTACTCATACTGAAGTCTCTCCTGAATGAACTGATTTTGCAAAATTCAATTGGACTCAATAGTGAGTCATGTCTGTTGAATAATGAGTGTGGGAAGCCTTCCCTACAAGGAAGCACAATATTGGACTTGTGCTGATATTTAATATGCAAATATTTCAAACTACTTTTGACTGATATCAGATACCAGTTAAGGAAATAACTGGGGAAGTTCTCTAAATGTAAATTAAATCGTTTGTGTAGCAAGGACTGAACTCTGACTTATTTCTACAAATTCTGAGATTCAAGCCAGACTACGGACTTTTCCGAATTTATTCTCAAAATGCTGACGTGATTCTCAAACTTTCAAAGTTTGACTCATATTCAAAAAGTTTCTGACTTTTCCTCAGAATTCTGACGTTTTAAATCCAAAATTAAAGTTTATTCCCCGTATTCTGACTTTTTTTCTCCAGATTAATTAGTTTTTATTCAACCTTAAAATTTCCTGGCCAAGATTTTAGACTGTTTTTTTTTCTGAATTTTGGGAGAAAAATCCAAATTTTGATCAGAGAAATAAATCATAGTTTTTAACTTTTATCTCAGTATTATTTACCATAAACACTAATATGTATTTTTTCCTTATGGTACCTTATCCTTCTCTGCACGTATCCTCCACAAACATTGCAAGTAGCTTCTCTTCTACCTGTTTACAAAACTTCCACACAGCTGACACATTGATGCCCACTGTTGGTGCTCGTAAACTGGTACTGTATGCCCATAATTAATGCCTCACCTCATTACCCACATACATCTGCAGAATTTCTCATACGCTGATTAATTTTAGCTTACATCTGCCAATATAATGCAGGAATTATTGAGCATCCTTACTTTCTATGGAGTAGAAAACACATCAAAATTATATATATATATATATATATATATATATATATATATATATAAACAAATTGAAAAAGCACATGAAATTAAAGTTACCCTAACAGACAGACAGTCCATCTATCCTACAGCTTTTTAGAAAACACAGAGATATTCTGTTATTTATGAGTCATCCTAAAAGATTTGATTAATTAATTGCTTACAAAGAGTGTTTTTATAAGTACGGTATTTAAATAATGAATCAGCTTCATTAAAGATCCTCCTGAATGCCCTGAACTTGTTTTCTGCTGTTCTGAGCTGTGCAAAGATCTAACCCTGCATGGTGTGAAGTGCTCTGTTGATTCGAAACAGGGATGTTTATGGTTCACATCTGCTTCTCAGTCCACTTCAGTTTTTAAGCATCATTGAGCGCACAGCTGTTCGTTGTCAAACACCATTAAAGGTGCAGCAGACTGCGGCGGTAAAGGCCAGTCCTGTGCTGAGTCATCACGCAGAGTTTTGACATAGACCTACCTGCAGCATCTGATTAGTCTGCTGAGCCGCCTCGTCGTTCTGGGCTCGGATACGCAGGTCATCCTGGTAGTCCTTACAGTTCATGTCCTTATGGATGGCCTGCAAACACACAAGTTTGTTTTAATTGGTCCCTCCGCTTCAGAAAGCAACGACAGCAGTTGATTGTTAGAGTGGATGACAGAGAGGTACCCTGCAGAGGATGCAGTTGGTTTCGCCGCAGAGTTCGCAGTGGAACTCGTTGACTTCGTCCTCGTAGATGCACCAACCTCGACAGTTGAAGGTCTGGCAGTGGAAGCTGTGCTCAGAGCGGCTTTCTGCGATGCTCAGGCGTAACTCCAAAAAGCGCTGGTGCTCCTCATCTGTGAGCAGCTGTGATCAGAGGAAGCGAGACAAGAGGATGTCACTGCAACGGTCGGCTACATGAGAGGTAAGTTTGATGATCATTTCCTCATGAAAATGCAATCAGACCGAGACGCTAAGGCAGAAGAACTACCGCATCTGCAGTGCAAAATGATTAATATGATGATTATTACTTCAAGGAAATGATAAAGAAATGATCATAAATGTTATTTCTTGAGCTGCGTCCCCCCAGCTGCAGTCCATGGACTCGCCCGAGGTCTTACTACATACAAGCGGCTGCTGGAAGAGAGTGGGTGAGTTGTGTTTAGTCTCTTTGCTAAAGAAATTAGTCAAAGTTAAAAAGATGTTTGGTGGCTAGTGCTGTGGCTGTGACCCTATATGTCCTGTTGATGAAGTTAGGTGTTGTTCTGAACATTATGTGTGGCTATAGAGTGGCGTTTTGGTTGAGTGCATGGCTCTGCTATCGTGTGGTTGTTACTAAGGTTGGTATAACTAGAGAAGGAAGCAGTCAGCAACATTCATCTCTTGACGGGGTGTCTAACTCGGTGTTACGGTGTGTTTGACCCTAAGTTTACTTTATGCCGAAATCCTTTAAAATTGGTTTTAAAAAAGTGATTCAAAAAGTGAAAATTTGATGTTTTTTCTTTTAGCCGAAGATAAAACACAACTGACTTAGTTGTATAGCTGAAAAAAAAAATGTAATTTTTGAGCTTCACCTGTACTGTGATAGCAGCACCTTTTTGTTTTTCTTCTAATAATGAACTTCAGCATCTTCGGCTCTGACTTTTGTGGTCACTCTCTCAATTGAATATGGTTCAACGTTTGGATCGATGCCACTCTCATTAACGTCACTTCTCTCTCACCAACCAATCAAAATCAAGAAAGGGTGGGACTAAAGACATGACCTTTGCCAGAAGTAATGACGGAGGAGAAACTAACCTGACTTGTTTTTCAAAAGGTACATTTTCCAGGCCATAAGAACCTCCTATTGTCAAGACTCAGTTTTGGAATATTTCAAAACCGATTCAACCATGCAGTAGACCCAGTTTTGTTACCTAGCAACAGTTCGCACTGCTAAGAAGTGTTCTGAAATTTACAGAGCTAAAGAAAAAAATAATCCACCGGTGGACACAGGCCCTTACACTCAGGCTGCCATCAAGTTTCTGACACATCAAAATGTTCCTTTCTCAACCTCGACTCCACACAGACTTACAGGTTTTACAGCTTACTGGTATGTTTGAAGAGGAGGGAGGAATCGATGAGAGAATTTAAAGATCTAACCTAAGAGCTTTGACATCAAACATCAGCTTTTCACTGCTTAGAGACAATTCGTTCTCTTAATTGCGGGAATTGTCTGCGATTATCGTCCACTTTACCAAAATGAAAATGTGTTTAAAATGACATATTGTAAAACCATCTACATTTGTATTCATTCCATTACTGAAGTCTGTCTCGTCTCACACTCACCGCTTGAATCTCTCTGTCCAGTAATTTGCTCTCGCAGTTGTCCGGACATGACACCTCAGCATCTTGACAGTTCACTATCGTTCCTACAAGACAGTCTCTGAAACGCAGAGGAAAAAATCACACTTTTAAGATACAGCTTCATTAAAAGCACTCATTTACCTCTTTTTGTCTTCCAGCATGACAAAGCTAAAAAATAACAAGAAAAAGACTTCCTGTGTCAGACCTGCAGAAGGTGTGGAGGCACTCTCTGAGCACGATGCCCTCTTCTGGCTGCAGGGTGGAGAAGCAGATGGGACACTCTATCTCTGTGCTGTTGGGGATGAGGTTCAGGTCTTCGGTTGCCAACAGGTGAAGGTAATTCCTCTCACGTTCCTCCTGCTGAGCCTTCATCATGGGTGATTTGTTGAGAATTAAAATGAGTCATCATGAGAAGTGTTGACAGAAAATGGAAAGCGAAACAAAAAAGGCTCCGGGCGTAAACATAAACAGCTGTCATTAGGATTCAAAACAGTGTGTGGACTCAGCTCTGTTGTTCATGTACCCTTAATGAAATCTTTTCACTTATGCTGTACATAATTGCTCCATTAGCTCTGCACTTACCGCACACATCACAGGAAATGTGCCTCTGTGAGAGCCACAATAAACGTTGAGAGTTCTTGGTTAACACTTCAGATGAGCTCACTTCTTCTCATGCATGATGAGCACATTTATAAGGCCTTATAAATGCATCTAAAAGGTTTTATAAACTGTAGAATACAAAGGCAACACTGCAGAGCTCTGAAAACTTCATGTTGTGCACCAAACAGTTTTAACATTAAGACCTGAATAACTTGTGCAAACAAAAACAGCCCCGATGAGACTTCAATAAACTTCTGAAGATCTGCATCTGGTTGGTTTGTACTCTTCTACAATGTTAGGATTTTGATCCAGGGAATTCAGAGGTCTTAAACTCATTAGGTTCTTCCCGGCCAGAGAGCAGTATGGGAACCCTGATCAGTCTGTAGTGACACAGCTCCACATACAGGAAACTTTTATGCACTATTCTCTCAGCGGCAGCCAGTAGCTCCTCTGCCTTCTGCTAGACTTTACTCTCCACTCACATCATTGAACCTTTGCCACCCATGACTGTTGTTTCTCTATTTTTCTGCTTCCAATGCATCAACAAATATATACCCACTCCTTTTGGGAACCCTGTTACCTGTTCGTACTGCAGCGTAGCCAGCCTCTCCTGCTGTATCCACTCAAGCTCCTGCTGACTAGGCTGGTAGATGTTGGGCACGACGTAATCCGCCGGTCTTTCCCCTCCACACATCTCACAACCCGGGCGTATGGGTTTGTTCACATAGGTACACATCGCGCAGGCCCATCCCAGCTGCAAGCACATATAAATATATATGTATGGGGTATTAGTACAGTCTTGATGATACAGATAACATGCAGACATTCTTGTGTCCTGACCTGAGGTTTAGGAAGCACAGCAGGAGGTTTAGGAGGAGGAGGAGGAGGGTTCTTAGCCGTGTTCTCAACACCTGCTGCTCCTCTGGCTAAAAGTTGCATTGAGTGCATTGACTCCACAATGCCTGAGGACAAAACACCATTATCATCCTCATTAATAAAAGCTCAGTCAACCAGGATTCATTCTCAGAATGTGTATTGATTAAACGCAATAATCTGTTTGCATTGAAGATTAGACTTCTTCTCTGTTATGTTGACTTTTCCTCATTGTTAACAGATATGATATAGCATTTTGACCACTTTTTCAGTAATAATATTATTCCTAAACTGTGCCGTTATGTAGAATAACAGGAATCCCCCTGAAGAATAAGTAGATCATTCGATAAATGCGTTCACCAAATTAAGCCTTTCTTGTTGTGAGTTTACATTCAGATCGTGTGCCGACCTTCAAAGCGCAGTTGCTCCTGGTCCAGCCTCTCTTGCTGCCGTGTGAGATTTGCCGCTTGGGCAGAGCGGATGAAAAGAAAAACCTTGTCTCCACTCTGACGGATACCGTGGCTGAACAGCGTCTCCTGGTCCCGAGCCAAACGCTTCCCGATCACCCAACGCTGCAGCACCGGGGGGAACCCATAATCTTGGCTGATCTGAAATGACAGAGGTATGGATCATTTGAGTGACTATTAAAACTTTTTTTAAATGCCTTATTTACTGATTGCATTGTAGAAAATATTATCTATTTTTATACTGAACCTCATTTTAATCAGGTTATTCTTACTGTTATTAGAGGATATGACTAAAGACAGTAGCAGCACATGGACAGTCCGGACTCAACCGATTTCACCAAAGATTAAAAACATTCGGGGTTATCTCATCAGGAATTTTAAGATCACCTGACTAAAGCACTAAGGAGGGGTGCAATTATGCTTCAGCGTGATACAGAATAACAAGGCTAAGCGTGGGTACACCTTCAGATATCGGTGTAATGTTTGAGATCACATGCTTTACATGTTAACTTATATGTACCTTTTCTTTCAGTTGTGCAATCCTCATGCCAAGCGTGACCTCGACAGTCACTTGGATGTAGTTTTCTGACAAGGCGTCCTCCACTCCAACCAACAACCTGCCGAAGAAAATAAAAAAAATTCAGATGCTTTTTTTTGCCTCTTAAGTTGAACAGTCACCACTTTATCTAGTCCCTAACACACACTTATTTTCTTTTCAAGGACGCCTCCACAAACAGAGACGTTTAGCCAAAGCACATGCATGGATGAACTTTCATTGTCGCCATACTTCTTCATTCTCATCTATTACACAATCACAATTCAAACCAAAGCAGAAAGACTCATGGGTTTCTGTTTTGGACCAAAACAATAGCGCTACACATGTACACAAACATGCGTCCCCCACCTGATGACATCTTGAGGGAATGCTTGGCTGTTGATGCTGACAGTCACCGGGACAGAGAGTTTGGACAGTTTCTCACACAGTTTGACGGCTTCTTGTCCATCTCCAGAGCTCAGGGCTTCACTCAGAGAGCAGGCCAGCTCCTCCGCTGCACAGACACCAAGAGAAGAAGAAGAGTTAAGTACACTCTTTACCTCTGCTGTACTTTAGTCAGGGCTGTAACTGTTACATGACACTGCTTTAGTGTTATGTCATTACTCCTCTGGAAAAGTTTATGACTTTTTAAAATACTCACTGTCATAGTAAAATGAAAATCTTAAGTTTCAATTCACAGGGCAAATACTGACTTATTTTACATCAGTGGTTCTCAACTGGTCTCACAATGGGACCCACATTTTAGATAGATAGATAGATAGATGTACTTTATTGATCCCAAACTGGGAAATTCTCACATATTTCCGATGGTCCTTAAGTCATGACCCACTTTTATAAAATTCAAACCAAGCAATTTTTAAAAATTTATTTTTTTTATAAACAATAACCTTCGAAGACTCAAATCGTTAACATAAATTATTATCACTGCTGAATAAAGTGCATTTCAGAGCACATGAACTAAGAACGACAACTACTGAAGTTGCGTGTACAGAAAATAACAAATAAATTGCACAAAATGGAGACGGGCAAAATGAAAAATATTTACTTATATGCATCTCTGCATGGATAAAAGTAAATACATATCAAATTGCACAAAATAAAGACCGAGGAGGACCACGACATAACGCGTGCCTTTCAAAATAAGCTATTTTTCAAAATAAAAGTCAAACATCAGACGCTAAACATTTACTTTTTTGACCAGCTGTTCGCGACCCATCCAGAACGTGTCCGCGACCCCCTTTTGCATCAGGACCCACCAGTTGAGAACCACTGCTTTACATGAAATACAGTAGTTTTTGTTTGACTATAATAAAACCGAAACTTATTCAGCCTACTTACCTTCTTTGAGTTCAACTCGAGGTCTAACTTCAGAAGCCATCAATATACACCTGAAACCACAGCCAAGAGGAAAAAAATCACTTTGAATAGAAAATAAATATTTAAAAACACAAAATAATAGCAGGGAAATGTAGTCATATGATCCAACCTTCGTCAGGTTTTGTTTAGTCCGTTCCGCATTCAACAAGCTTCCTCTTGACGACGTGAGTTTTGACGGGCTGTTTTGAAAGCGTAAAAAGACGTAAAAGTCAAGCTTAGTGAAGATATAAGTTCTTGTTGTCTGTTTCTAAGTCGGTGTTCAGCTCTGACTCTCTTTCCTTCACACAAACTCAGAGGTAGAAAGAAAAGCGAAACTGACTCCAGACCAGGAAGAGAAACTTTTAAAAGGGTCGCGCTGGAGTTGTTTGGCCCCGCCCACTTTTCCACTCCTGAGAGGTTTGTAGTTTTCAATACATTTTTTTGGACTACAAAACCGATTCTATCTCATTACCTATTTGTAAACATGTCTTTTTTTCTCCCTTACAGTCTTCATCAAGCAAACAACTCTTTCGTCTAAAAGCACCATCCTCTCAACTTTCTACTTCAGCAATAAGTTTTAAAAATACAAGTCAACACAACAGGGAACCTATCATAGTGGGAAAAGGAGATATGATGGAGCAGCTGTAGTTATTTATTTCACTTTTCAGAAAGCTTGAAGCAATGACTGCTAATATCCAGCAGATGGCACTGCCCGTCAAAAAACAGTCTCGTTGAATAGACAGATGAACGCAGAATTTTGCAACAAAAACTTGACAATAAATGTTATTTCTGACTTAAACATGTCATTTCATTCCCTAGGTGGACTATTTATATCAATTTATTGCATTATTAATAGCATTATCACACAAATATATGGTTAGGTCTCAATTTGAATGCATTTACACATGACTTAATATATATTTTAGATTATACTAGATTTTTTATAGCAATTGATGTATTTTTTAAATTTTTTTTAGAGATTTATCTTTTCTTTACTTTAACCTGTTGGTTCAATCTGTTCTTCTATTAGGCTATTTCCTATGTCAAGTTTAATGTTATTTTAAGCCTGCTTGTACGGTGGCTGAGAACCGCCACTGCTGCAAATAAAAAAAGATTGCAAAAAAAAACTGGAACTAATACCACGTCGGCATCCTCCAGATAAACTTCACATTGACTGAGGCGCTACATGGCCTAACCAAATGACACGTTGAAAAGTTTTCTAAGTGAAATTAAACAAAAACCTTTTCACTAACTTCATTCACCATCGTCTTCTGTGCCTAGATCATAAAACACCTGTGCATCATCATTATTGGTCCCCAGCAGCTCTCTTCTGTTGTAGCTTTTTTTATTTGCATCCTTTTATTTTGGCAGTAAGTACGTTTTTTTTCTTTTTCTTTTGCATCTCTACTGTTTTTGCGTCATTAACTTCCATTGTGGTTTCTCTTTTTTTTGCAGCATTTTTTTTTGCATCACAACTTTTTTTTGTCCATAACTGCTGTTGTTTTTTGTTTTTTAATCTCAGCTGTTCTTTTTCATTATTATTATTATTATTATTATTATTATTATTATTATTATTATTATTATTATTCCTTATTTATTTATTTATTTATTTATTTGCAGCGGGCTTCAGTTTCTTTCTTTCCTTCTTTTTTTGCATCAGTAACTTCTGTTGTGGTTTCTTTTTCTGCATTTGTTTCAATCTGCAGCAGTGGCGGTTCTTGGCCACCGTATCCTTGTATATTTCAACTGTGATTGAATCGCCTTGACAGTGTTTATTCCTTTCAGGGGTTAGGATGGTGTCCTTTAATGAATACTTTACATCCAATAAACATAAAAATTTGGGGATTTTTTTTTTTTTACTTCAGAGTTTGAAAAACATTCGAACCCATCTTACTTTTGATTCATAACACGGTGTTATTCTCAGGCTCCAGAGATTCCTCTTGGTTAACTCAACAGTTTGATCCAGATGCACAGCTTAGATAAGTGAGCCAATCACAGCGGCTCTAACAGGAGGGGGCGGGGAGCTCTGCTCAGCAGCACAACACAAAGTTACGGAGGAGCATCTCCCTCACTCGGTCAGTCCCCTCCTGCCTGCTCAGCTCCACCTGTCCTCCTCTGTGTCTCACCTGCAGCCGAACTCTCTGACACACTTCGACGGTACTTTCTCTTTATCCCTCTGATCAAGGTGTGTCTGGACGCGTTCAAAGATGCTGGCTTGTACGGAGATGATCACTATGTGCTTGCAGTCCGCCAAGCAGAAGCATCTCCGGGCTCAGCAGCAGCAACAGCAGCCGCTGCACAGCACCGGACAGGGGCTGACTATCTTTCATGATGTGAGTGGATCAACTTCTTTATTTCTCATAAATCACTGCTGAAAGTGGAATTTGTCTTTCAAAACACATTTTCTCATGGGTACATTTGTTGTTTATGTCAAAATTAATGTAAAGTTTTTGTGCAACATAAATGTAAAAGTCTTTCAGATGCAGTAAGGCTACATTAAACCATAAAAGGTGGAGAAATATAGTGTGTGGGGGCAAAATTAAGTCATTGTTAGTTTTTCTTGCAAATTCTGTACAATTTATACAAAATAATCTTACAATTACACATCCAAAGAGGGTGCAGTGTTTTGCCTTGTGTGTTTTTGTGTGTTAAAGCAAAGTAGGAAGAGCTGCAGCTGCTGCCTCTGCATGATAAATTAAGCTCTCACTGGGGTTCTCCTCATTTTGTCACACACACACCGAGGCTACAGTACATCCACAAACACCAAATAAATAAATGCAAAGGCTAAACACGAAATATCAGGCTCATAGATACAAAGTTAGATTGATTGAAGTTTGATTAAGATCGGTGAATGCTCTTTAATCGCTGCTTTTGGATTTCTAACTGCTGTGTCTGCATCTGCACATAAACACACAAACACGCACACAGACGCACTTGATCCTGCTGGAATTTAAACCAATAACAGTGGCTCCCGCAGCGCCGCACTAGAAACCATCCATCACTGCAGTAATTAGCCATCAGTCACATACTGTCTTGTTGTGTGTTAGTAGGCCAATAATGTGCCTGACATCTGGGCTCTTAAGTGACATCTCTCCGTCAGCTCAGTCTCTAATGCTGCACACAGACGGCCTTTGTCTCAATAAGGATGCATTAGTCATATATTGCTGAGTTGTCACTGTATCTTAGTCCCTGAACATGGCATGCAGCAGTGGAGCATCCCCACGTTCACTCTGCAGCTCTGACTTTTCTGATGAAGGAGCACAAACACACTGACAGGAGCTCTCTGTGAGATATTGAACACATAGTTGAGTTTTAATCGTCTGAAACAGTCAGTGTAGGAGGCAATAAAGAAGACAGAGACACTAAATACAGGCAGACAAAGACAAATTGTTTTGGTTTTGATTGCCATGCTTATCTGCTTATTGTCTTTTTTCACAAACTATTTATGCTGCTGTTGAGAGAAACAGAAACAATTTGCAGATATCAGAAAATTTATCAGTGCCTTAGACTCCCTATACATCATATTACATCAGCTCTTTTACTGCTTACATTTGATCACAGGCTGTAGACCTAACAAACTACTTTATGTAACATTCTCTCAATTTCAAGCCTGGAAGTTTTCTCTCGATCATTACGCTCTCTCTCTCTCTCTGTCCCTTTGCTTTTCAGACACTCACACATGCACACACACACACACCTGCCTCCTTCTACTCCTCTCCCTGCTCTCCTCTCTCCACCTGTTGCTGCATGATAGTTTGATCTGCTGATGCTGATGATCTGCTCGATATGTTGAAGATGCAGCTGTCCATCATTTACTTCGACAGGATCTCAGAATGTAGTTTCATATCGAATTCGAGCTGTTAATGATGAAGTTTAAGTGACAGCTGTTATTGGGGGAGGAGCACATGCTGTAGTGTGAAGGAGGAGAGGAAGGGCGTGCTTCCTACAACACGAAACAGAATGATACGATATGACACAAGACAGTAGCATAAGATATATTATGATATACAGTGTTGCCACAGTTACTTTTACTAAGTAATTTGATTATGTATTACAAAATTACTCCTTTAAAAGGGTACTTAGTTACTTTTAAAATCAAGTAATCAGTAAAATAACTAAGTTAGATAACAAGTTACTTTCTCAGTTACATTCATCAGCCTCAACATGTAAATAACAAACAGTTTCTTTCCAACACTTTATTTAAAGTGTAATTTTACCAGGAATCCAATCCAATCCATTTTATATATATAGCACGATTTAAACAAACACAAGGTTTCCAAAGTGCTGCACAGCAAGATAAAAATACAGTAAGTAACAGAACAGAAGCACAATAAAACAATGAAGATAGAATAAAGTTTGATAAAAAAAAACACAGTACAATCAAATAAAAAGCAAATAAAATCCATAAAAGACAATAAAATTAAATCAACCTCCTACTGAGTGTTAAAAGGAATGTCAAAAAATACTTCTTTTTTTAAAGAAAATGAGTCTTTCTTGACTGAAAAATACAAACAATTTCTTTTTTAAAATATAACATAAAGACAGTCTTTAAAATAGTAGCTTTATTTCCAGCTTGAGAACACGCATCTCTCTCCTCCCTCCATTGTTGTTCATGGGGGGAGGAGATGGTTAGGTTTGTTTTGCCGTGGCTGATTTATGTGTGTGCACATGTATTACAAGTGAGTGGTCCTCATGTTGAAAAACGTGACTTGTACATGACTGACGCCACTCCCCCCAGACGAAAACAAATCTCTCTTTTTTTTAGGAAAATGAGAAGTGACTCTGACATGCAACTTAGATCTAATTACTGGTTTGGAAATAGCAACGCATTAGATTACTCATTACTGAAAAAAGTGGACTTATTTGAGTAGTAACACGTAACTGGCATCACTGATGATACACTGTATGTTCTGACAGATGCAGTCCCACCGTCGCTGATACACTGACTCACAAATTGTAAACTGATCTTTAACAGACGTGCTCATCTGCCTGAATGCTGCTGAAGTATTTTGACCTCTTCGCTGCTTCAGGTCAACCCAGTACTCATTTTGTTGGTGGGTTATGTTGTGAACATTAAGTGTCTTGAAGTAGATTTAGGTTAAGTGAAGTGTGATCACTCCACATGGCGTTTGTTTACCTATGCAGTGGGAAAATGAGACTGTGATGTAATGATGTGAAGACCGCCCCCGGGTTGATGTGTGCATTGGCCCACTTTACGATATTACAGTGGGAACACAAAACAACCCGAGGGAAACATGGAACAAAGTAATTTTATTATCTGAACCCGAACGGGAGATGATTGATGGTGGGAAAAGAAATGCAGGTGTTACGCTGATTTTGTGGATTTCCGGTGAAATATTCTTATATGTCAAAACCCT